ATTCTGGGAAATGTAGTTTCAGCTTACCCAAATTGACACAGTACAAAACCACTACACACCATTTATCAGCTGCTTGATATTGAGCAAATTATTTAACTTCTATAAGCCTCTCTAAGTCTCTTCCCATCTCAGGGTTTGGACATTGTCTTCTGAGACATTTTCCTGGGTTTTTGGAAGATGCCCTGTTGCTGGGCATCTTCCACTTACAGGTCCCTTGATATGGGGGATACCTCTTCCCACTGGCCACTTATGACTCTAAGCCTGATGGCTTCTGGCAGTCTTTCCCTAGCTGGGGTCATCTATCCCTTCTAGGCAGCCCTCTTGGGCACTACACATCTGGCCCTTGGAAAACATATAAACATCCGTGCTCTGCTAAGCTCTGGAGGTGCAGCTCACTCCCAAAATAGTTCTCTAGACTCACTCTCCAGGCCAGCAAGCCAACCACAGCCACTTGCCTTCAGATTATTTTCAGGCCTGAGTCCCTCTGTCTCCTGCACTCCAGTGGATTCAAGTCAGGATCTTGGAGTTCTTTTCTGTAATCCCCCTCTTAAATGGGTTATAGTTAGAAAGAATCAACACCTAAACCTTCCCCTTGGCTGGGGGAGGAAGGAAGTGATCACACTCTCTAGACGAATCTTCATTACCGCCTGCCTTTCAAGCTGAACTCTTAGCCCTCTCTTATACAGTCTGGAGGTGGGTAACTGACTATTGACCATGGTTTCTCAAATCTGTAGAAATGGTCTAGCATCTTGATTTAGAATGTTGGGGTAGCTGAGAATTACTGATACCTGGCTTTCTTTTCCTGACCTTTGGGGCCTCTGCCCAAATTTTGAGAAGGGAAGAGTCCCATTTAACATACCGTTACCTCTATAAAGAGCCTAGCACAGTGCTTGACACATGGTAGACATTCACCAACAGAAGTGATGGTGTTTTGCCAATCACCCAGCATGGAGGTCAATCTAGCCTTTGAAAATGATTAGAATCCTCTCCCCTTAAGCTAGACTTAAGGGGAGTTTGTACCCTCATGTAAGGCTTGAAAGGCAGTTGCCTGGTCCTCCTTATGCCCAGTCTACATGTCTATTCCAAATACAATGTTTACAGCCATCTAAGTCCAGTAGCTTCTGCACCCAAGCACACACTCAGACCCATGCTCAGTGACAAATCACGAGCCCAAGGAAGTCAGGAACCAGCTTAGCTCCTCACACTGGGGGAAGGGAGAAATGACCCCTCGCCTGTTCTGAAGTCCCATCTCAGCCACAGCAGGTGGAGTGGGAAGGTACAGTTGTGTGCTGGGCTACATACAGCCAGCTGGCCCTGGACTGATGTACAGGCTGGCATCTGTCTTGATTAGTCAGTCTCTGTGCTGAACTAGTTTTTATATATTTTGAATATCAGCCTTGTTTGTGGGCATGGAGATACTCAAATCCATAGATGCACAGAAACACCAGCAGCATACCTGCATACACAATTACATCTTTACGCATGGGTGTACATGAAGTTACTTTCCTTAAGTTTAAAAGTAGAAGTTACATTAACTTGGAAAATATGAACTGAGCTGATCTGGGATGTGACAACACATTAGAGAAGCAGTGAGGTATCTGCTCCAAGTCTTGCTCTTGGCCTCTGTCTTAGTCTTTACGTCTTCATTTCTTTGGTTGTTACATCTCACAAGCAGCACTGAAAGGGATTAAAGGGAACACAAGAACAGCCTACAAAAAAAAAAAACCCCTCCCAAACCCAGAAATACAACGTAGAGTAATCATTTTCTAGATTGTAATGGTGTACTGAGAAAGGTTCAATAAACACGCTAGGGCAGGGGTTAGCTAAAGTTTTCTATCAAGGGTCCGATAGTAAATATTTTAGGCCTTGTGGATCATATGGTCTCTTTACAATGACTCAGCTCTGCTGCTGTAGCAGGAAAGTAGTCGTTGACCATAACAAACAAATGAGCTTAGTTATGTTCCAATAAAACTTTATTTACAAAGACAGTCAGTGGGTCAGATTTGGCCCATGGGCCTTAGTCTGCAGGCTCCCACACCAGGGTCTAATGAACCCAGAAGCCGTCAAGACTGGCTTCACAGGTCTTCCAAAGGTTGATAGGGGCTCCATTCTGTCTCCTCCAGAAAGGACAAAAATCAACTGTTTTGGATGTGGCATCAGTTTTGTTTTAATTATTTTGTGCTCTGTTTTGATATTCTTCTGAACGAGTGTTTTCAATCCCTCCTTTTTGTCCCTACTTCCCCCTTTCTGTGCATATACCTTCTTCGTTCTGTCCCCTTGCACTCACAGGGTTGGGTGATTTTAGAATGACAATTTTTCACATTCACCCTTGCTAAAATCCTGGCTTCTTTTCAGGCTCCCTGTCTTTACTGGAGTAAAGAGGCAATGTGCAGTAGTGTAAAGAGCACTTGTCTGTATCACTGGGCGGGACATGCCACCAGCTTGCTGTGTGACTTTGAGCAAATCACCTAACCTCTCTGAGCCTGCCTTTCCTCATCTGTCAAATGAGAGAGTCAGCTAAGTGATCTCTAAAATCCCTTCTAGCTCTAAGCTTGTGATTTTAAGAAGCTGCAGCCTCAACTCTAGGCAACTGTCTGGGGCTATTAATTAGGACGTCACTCGCAGACGTTAATGACACTGCCAGGAGGTCACAAAAATTAGAAATGATCTCCTGCAGTTGGCAACCTTCCTAAGGCCTTCACAGCTGAAGGGGTGAGGATACCAGCTAACTTCAGAGAATCTGAGATCCCATGCCACAAGACAAATGACTCCAGGACCGTATGCTCCAGGAACATTAATTTGCATTCCTAAACTGCCATTGAAGTAGCTGCAAATGTGCACAGAGGTTGACTTGGTTGGAAGCAGGACCCTAGGGAGTTGCTGTGGGAGATGGGATGCTTTCCCTTCTCCACCACACCCTCTCATGTGGGGTTCTCCTGGCCATATACAGGACACCGCTCAGAGCCCACCAAATATATGAGTAGGTCTGGAGGAATGGAAGCTTTGAGGGGTTAAAAAATGAATTAGCAAATTCCAGCACGTGCCAAAGGAAAGACGTCTTCTCTGGAAGCAGGGACAAGGGAGGGCAGGGAACCCAGACGTCAGCTGAGGCAGGGGCTGGTGGTAGTCGGCAGCTCAGGGGAGTCTGTAAAGCATCATCCCCACTCTGTCAGGCGCATCCCCCAGCTCACAGACCGGAGGTGTGTGGATGCAGTAGGTGGGCAGGGGACTGGAGCCCTTTCTCTCCCTCCTGGACACAGTCTTTAGGGGTGGGAAGGGAGTGGAGAAGCCCACATCCTGGCCTGCAGGAGAGCAGGCTCTTATCGTCTGACTCTGTTAAAGCTGTCTCATTTGTAGCCTAAATAATTCACTCACCAAGCTCTCAAGGAGCATTAGAAGAAAAACAAAACCCGACCCAGCCCTCATGCTCAGGTTCCCTGCACCAAAGGCAGGCCAGGAGGCTGGGAGGCAGGCCCAAGCTGCAGAGATGGCCTGCCTTCAAAGAGTCACTGGGGTTGGCAACGTTCCAAAAATGGCCTGGGGCCTGGTTTTATACAGCCCTCGAGATAGGAATACATTTACATTTTTAAAAAAGTTTTTTTAAAAGAAAACAAATAGCAACAAAAGATGCCAAAGAGACTGCATGTGGCCTGCAAAGCCTAAAATATCTACTATCTGGCCCTTTCCAGAAAAAGTTTGCCAACCCCTTCATACATTCCCCAGCCTTGAAGGAGGTGATGACAATCTTTGACCTAATCTCCAACTACCCCACCCTGTGACCCCACTATGTGCAGAGATTCAAAGTTGTCAGAGTTCTGATATTGACAGTCCAGCGAGAAGCTGGCATCATTGTTCACCCCATTACCAAAAACAAAACAAAACAAAAACAAGAAAATAAACCCTGGAGTGAGGTGAACAGTCTTGACTCTACCATGTGGAGAAGGAGAGAGGGGAGGGCCGAGACTCAGCCCCAATCCCTCGTCTGATTTGCCTTCTCTGAGGGTCAGAATGGAGCACTGTCCAGATTGATCTCTACTGACACCACTTCCCTCAACGCCCCTACCACACGCTGCAATCCTGGTGATCCCAGCTGATCCCAGCAATTGCTGAGGCTGTAATTCTCTTACTGATGAGATATCCAAGTAGCCCATGTCTCTGATTTCCTGAAGCCTGTGTGTCAGCCTGACTGTGCCAACCCTCAATCCTAGACAGAGGCTCCACCCAGCCCAGCAGGGGCTCCCCTCCTGCCCATTAGGACCTCTGAAGGGAGAAGACTCTGATCACCCCTGGACCCCATTCAGACCCTCTCTTGGAGCCAGAGCCTCTTAGAGTTTCAATCTAAGGACTCTGGAAGAGATGGGTCGAAGTGGGCAATGGGGCTGCCAGCTCAGAATGCCCCAGACATAACTGGGCTGAGTGACCTCTGGGCTGTCATGGGTCTGTTGGAATTTTAGGGGCTGAGGGCAGACTGGAGATCCAGTGGCCCCACATCCTGGTATGTAGGTATTCTGGATTATTTCAGATAGGAGAACAGAGACCTTTGTAAAACTTTCTGCTCTAGCATCTCCCAAGAAAAATGTTTCTGCTGTCCAGCCAGTTCTTTGCAGGTTCCTGTTCTTGAGATAAAAACAACATGGAAGGCCCAGGCTGGAGTCCCAACATCCAGGCTAATTGAAAGGGCAGCAGTCTTAGAGATTTGGGAGCCCCGGCTGTGAGACCTTGGGCAAGTCACTTCACCTCTCCGGGACTCAGTTTCCTCATCTTTTAAAAAAAGCAAACAAACAAAAACCTGCGGTGCTTGGATGGGGGTGGTTTTAAGGTCCTGGCCATCCCATACTCAATGAATAGCCCAAACCAGGCCACGCCTCTGCAGAAGCTTTGCTGACAAGTTGTATGCCTTCAGCACTGCTTCTCTTCCCCAAATCAAGCCAGTACTATCCAAATGAGATACAGCTGGCCTGGCACAAGGGGAGCATGTTTTCCTTCAACATGTTAGCAGCTTTTTGGGGGTTTGGACTGATGCGAGGAAGGGAAATGGTAGGGGGTGAATGTGACCTCTTGTCTTTGTGCCCTGTGGCCAGGGGGTGGCTGAAGAGCTGTGGGAGTCTCATCCCCAAACCCCCAACATGCCCACAACATATGGCCCAGAAGCCACAGTCTGATACCACAGGGTTTAATCTCAATTACTAAATTGTCTTTTGTCAGCTCTCCAACTTGACTGCACATTCCTTGAGGGCAGGAATTGCATCTCAGCCTTCTTCTGCCCCAGGAGAGCCCAGCACAACACTAGGTATGCGGCTGGAGATCTGTCCACAGCTGCTGAGCAGCTTAACTGAAGTGCCCCTGGAAGGGTGATGCTGCATTTGGCATGGGCGTGTGTCCAGGTAAGAGAATCTCCATATTTGCTGGCTGATAACTGGATACCATCCTTCAGTCCATGGCTCAATCAAGCTGTCCTGTCTAGGCCATGACCTCAAGAGCTATCGTGTGACCTAGAAAGCAGGTAATGGGGCAAGGTTAGAGAAGGGAATGCCTATCCCATCCCAGCGTGCCTGAGACTCCCCAGGACATGCAGCCCACGGAGAAGTCACTGATGCCAATCCCCTCCCCCTGAAACAGTCCAGACTGGGGAAGCGTGGCCGGGGGCCCTTCACAGACATAAACCAGGTGTGCCTCACACTGTTGGCTGCAGCGTGCCAGCAAACAAAGAGCCAGCACAGTGCTACAAACCCAAACCTATCACATGGTGACAAAAGGTCACAAGCTCTGTGGGGGGTCTCACTCTCTTCTAGTCTTAAATATACTCAGAACGGCTGTCTCCCTTGCCTCCCTGCAGATGGGAAGCTCTACTTTATATCCAGCCATACTTTTTCTTGCTCTTTCTGTTCTGTGCTCTAGGAGAATGTTGCTCTCTTCAGAACCCTGAAGGCTACCTTTCCTTCCCTATTTTTTTGTTTGCTCCTTTGCTGTGTGTGGTGGTGGGGAGGCAAGGCAGAGGCAGAGTTCTGACTTGCCCCACAGTGTCACTCACCTGTACAAATGGCGATGACAGAGTGATGCAACTGATTAACTATGATACACATGGAATTGCTAATGAGTTTGATAAAATTTTAATTACCCCTTGTTCTGCAGGGCAGGCAGCAAACCATGAAAATAATAATCCTCTTGGGTGCTGTCACGGCAATTTGACTAAAGAAAGGCAGGTATGAGCTGTAGGTAGTTAATAATCGTGGGAGTGTGGGGGCGGGGCCTGTGGGGAGATGCGGGCAGAGTGGCTACTATAGAGAGCGCCCCCTGAATCATCTAGATAATTTCCTCAACTTTCTACTTTGTTCTTATAGACCTGATATTTTCTGGGAGGCAAACTCGCTCTAGGCAGAGAAGGAAACCAAAGCACAGAGCGTCAGGAATTCCCTAACTCTGGTCCCCAGAGTCAGAACAGACCCAGGGGGACTGTCCGGCAATGTGCCCACATGGTTCACAGATCTCACGTTGGGACACCGCCATCCGAGACCCCCAGGGCTCTTGTGCCCCCTTTTCCACCCCCAGTGAAGGGAGAACAGTGGGTGGATAAAGTGTCCATCCCTGGATACCTTGGTGGTTTTGACTTTGTGTCCACTGCTGCAGCTCCATCCCGACAGGTCCGGGAGCACTTTACACTCCTCCCCCAGCAGGCAGGGCTCCATCTGACACCACCACTTCTGCAAGACGATGGAGGCTGTGGGAGCAGGAGGAGTGAGGGCAGCTCTAATCTCTCTGCGAGTACAGCATGCAGAGAGAAGTCTGTGCAGAATGAAGTGCATGTTTCCACACACTCCTGGCTTTGAGCCCTGCATTTCCCCTTGTCTTTCCCTACTGGGGCTGCCCAGAGAGGCAGGACTCAGGCTGACACCTGAGCATACAGCCACATCAACATCAATCCCACTGACCGCTACACCTCATCAAAGACAGCGCGGGGGGAAGGCAGGGGAAGTTGTCTCTAAGGCAACCCATGATTTGAGCCACCGTGTCATTAGCAAAGAGGCACAGTCTTCAACATACCCCCCTGGTGCTTGCGAGCAAGTGTGCGAGCCGTTTGGAGGGCTCCACAGACCAAGAGTGCACAATCAGGTGTGCGTGTGAGCACAAGCGAGCACATGTATAGTGCTGCAACAAGCGTGAGATAATGAGCCTGGGTGGGGCCGTGAGAAAGGGGGTGGGTGTGAAGGCATGCAAGTGTGAGTGATACACGTGTGTCCACGTGAGGGGAGGGTAAAGGCTGCTTGAGAATGAGAGGAGGGCATATGTAAGAGGCTGGGAAGGAGCAGCAGGTGAAGTCCATGTCTGGATGAGTAAGTGTGAGGCGATGAGTCTGATGGGAGGTGTGAGAGGATCCGTGTGAGGGAATGTGTCTGTGCATGTGCCAGGCAGTGGGTGTGGATGAGGGGGAGGGTGTGCACATACCAGGGGCCTTCCTTATCTATGAACTGGGGATGGTCACACCTGCCCTCCACCCCGCAGAGGTTACCCCATCATTTGAGACTCTGATCACGAAAGCCCTGAGACGGGTATGCAATTGCATCCCCAGCAGATGGCGAGGCCTAGACGGACCTTCTTATTTCTCTGATCAGGCCCTCCCTCTGGGTCCCGGCCTCTCACTAACCGTCCACACAGGAGGGCTTTGCCCGCGTGGTACCAGCCACCTGGCCAGAAAAGCAAGAACATTTGACCGTCTGGGAGCGCTCCTCGATGTGGTTCCGGTTGCAGCAGCGGTGAGCAGCAATCACCTCGCAGGTGCCCTGCTTCACGAGGACTGAAGGGGCCAGCACAAGATCAGCCGCCCAGCCCAGGCCTGCAACCCTGCCCCACTCTCGCCCTCCCTGGTTGTTCTCAAACCCCTCATCCCAGCTTAGGGGAGGGGTGTTTAAGAGATTTGCAATTGCAGGGGAGGAGGAAACAGATGACATCTTCCTGCTGCTTCACCGTGTTCCTGTCCTTCCTTCCTCCCCACTGAGGACACTCTCCCCACTGAGAAAGAGGGGAGTCCCACACCAACCTCCACCTCCCCAGGCTTCCTCCGGGTGAGGGCAAGGGCCCTGGGGGCTTACAATGCGTGGGGAGGATCATCCGCTTACACAGGCTTTAGCCATCCCAGAAGGAAAACCAGAGAATTAGGCCAGGAGGCTAGACTTAAGCCCCTACCCTAGGGCTTCTCTCCCTGCAGAACACCTTCCAGCCTGGAAGGGAAAGTGAGCAATGTGTCTGCTCATGCTTCCTCTGGGCTGGGAGAGCAGAGGGGGCAGAGTTTCCTGGGTGAAGAACAGAAGAGGAGCCAGAACCCTTAGAATCTGTGGATTTTGCTCCACCTTGGAGATCTGACTGCTGTGGAACAGGGTGGGGTGGTGTCTAGCTCTCCAGGTATCCTGGGAAACCCCCTCCCCGGGTCCCACCACCTTCCTCAAACCTGTGGGAGTTGGAGGCTGCAAGGAAGCAGAGGCCAGGAAGGTCCACAGCCAAGCCAAGCAAAGTGCTAGCAGCCAGCTGCCAGTGCTGCAGTTCCGCGCGGCCCTCTCATGCATCCTGCAGAGACAGCGACACCTGCTAGACTCCAGGCAGGAGCCCCCCAGTGCCCAGCCCCAGCACCTCTGTGCCAGGCGCTCTGGGAGGCACAGATGTGGGGTGCATGCACACCTTATCCCTAGGTGGTCTCAGCCTGGCACACTCTCTGTGGAAAGTGGTGAGGGCTACAGTAGGAAAGGTAGCAGGAAGGGAAACTGTCCTGCTGGGAAAAGCATGGAAAGCTTTATGGAGGAGATGACATTTAAGAAGGGTCTTAAACGGTGAACCAGACATGGTCCCATGAAGGGCTGTGACATGAGAGGAACAACAATGCTCACTCCCAGTTTTTGAGCACTTGACCCGTGCACTTCACAAATATGCTCTTGAATCCTTCACAAATGAACTACAAAGGAGGATTATTGGTACCTATTTTACAGATGAGCAAACTGATATTCAAAGAGCCTGGACACAACCTAAACAGCCATCAATAAAGGACTGGCTAAACACATTGTGGAGCATCTATACGAATGCAGCCCCATCCACGCAGCTGTAAAAAGGAGGAGGACAGTCTTCATGCACTGAGGCATCCAATGATCTCCAACGATAATCCACTGGTAAGGGGGAAAAAGCAAAGTGCAGGATGGTGTGTGTAAAATGTGTAAAAGGGAGGGATTATATATGTTGCTCAAATATGCATAAGCTAGCTCTGGAAAATGTACAAAGAAAAAAAAAAGAACTAATACCATTCGTCGCCACCAAGAAGGAGAACTGGTTGGCTGGGAGATAGAGGTAGAAGGGAGATTTATTTTTCTCCTTATGGCTCTCTCACTTTTGGCTTTTGAACCATGGGCATGTACTAGCACTTCAATTCAAACAAATTTAAATTTAAAAAGGAAGAAATGAAACAAGGCTAATAGAAGTCAAATGACTTGCCCAAGGCCAGGCAGCATGTGGGTGGCAGAGACCAGAGGCCTGCCCTAGTCCCTCTGCGTCACCTTGCTTCTGCTCCATTCTTGATGGTTTAGGCCTCCCAGATCTATTCCAGAGGGTGGGATAGAAGTGGGGGCATCCCAGGGAAGCAGAGGCACAGAGCCGCAGGGAGCTGTCCAGGCATAGAAGGAGCCTGGACCACCCCCTCTGCTGCACTGCTGGCCCCTTGGGCATCGCTGGCTCCCTCAGGTGCCAGCACAGTGCTGGGAACGTCAGAGGCCAAACCAAAGGCCAGGGCCCGGCTGCCCCCTTGGATAGGGTGCTGGATCACCTTCTACCCTCCTGCTGCCCCTCTTCAACTGTCTCCTCACTCACCTTTTTGGGGATCTTTTAGCTTCTGTCTGTTCATCCACTGGCCTCAGACTCACTCTACCTAGACAAGTAGGAAAGATTCTTGGAGGGTTGCAAAGGACAGAGGGAGCCCATTGCCCTGCAGGGGGTAGAGGGGAGGCTGGGTGAGGGCAAGGGGGTGGGCTGGGAGTAGAACCCAGTTGTGAAGCTGTTCCCCAAGGTGCCAGGGCAGGGGGCAGAGTCTTCCTCTGCTCGGGGAATTTGCAGGGGTCCTTGCAGACTCTGGGAACATGTAGGATGGTGAGCCTGAGACGAGTGGCCTGAGGGAGTCTCTCTGTCCCCAGAGTGAAGCAGGGCTGATGGTAGGAAGTGTCTAAGAATCAACATTGTCACCTCTCTGGCCTTAGGATGGAGCTGAAGGCCAGGGAAGGGTTCCTGAGCAGAATCTGACAGAACGCTGCCCGAAGAGGCACCTGGGAAATACCCCTGAGGTCCTGAATCCTCTCTGCCTCCACCTCCCACCCCCATCGCCCCTGCTTCCTGGACTCACATGGAGCTAGCTCAACTCTGCCACCTTCGCCCCCGGAAGGCTAGAATGGGGGTCCTCCAGGTCTCTGAGCCTCAGAGGCCACAGGCCCAAGGGATTCTCCATTTTTCCCTAAGACCTCTCCTCCCTCAGCCTGCAAAGGAAGGTGGAACTGAGGCAGGTAGGATTGGCGCCCAGGAAGGACTGGGAACCCTGTGTCCCAGCTCCCCTGAGTGAGATCCCAGAGAGGACCATGGGGGCAGACGGAGGCAGTGGTGCCAATACCCCGGGAATGGGTGTGCTCCACGGGCAGAGAGCCTCCCACCCTTCTAGGTGGACCTCTTTTCTGGGTAGATGTCTCCTCTCCCTGTCCACATCAGAACCTTCATTTTCTTCGCTACAAACGGAGCTTTGTTTTCTCTCAGACAGTCCCCATCCCATTTCTCTCTGAGCTGCCACACCCTCCAATCCAACTCGCTCATCTCTCTTACGAACTCCAAGACCTAAAAGACTGGGAGTGAGCATTTGAGCTGGGTTCTCTGGCATTCTATTCCGTCCCTCAGAGAGAGCTGGAGAAAGAAGCTTCTGGGATTTGTTCTCGGGCTTCCACCCTCCTGCCTCAGTTTCCCAGGCTGTTTTCTCCAAACCCCAATCCAGGCTATGGTGAGGCTGAGTTAGCAGCCTGCATACCAGCGTGGGGTTGAGGATGCGACCCATAGGCCCCTTTAACCTTTCCCTACCTCCCCTCACCCCCCAGCGCCCACTCAGTCCTCCACGTTCGGAGCCCCCACGCCTAGGACCTACCTGCCCCACGGCGGTGCCACGGGTTCCCCCACCGGCTGAGGCTCTCCTGGCCTCTAAGCCCGAGACCAAGACTCGGACAGGCGGACTTCAGGCTGGAGCGGCCAGCTTGGGTGCTGTGTAGTTCGGAGCCCCGTCCCCCTCACCAAGTTGCTGTGTCGCTGATGCGGCGGGGCTCTGGCCAAACTGGCATCACGGTCATGCCGGGTCCCGCCCTGGGTACAGGGGGGCTCCGGGCCCGGCCCGGCCAGCTCTGCAGAGCTCAGCCGGGGTCCCTTCGAGACTCCCGCCGGCAGGCGAGGGAGCGCGCAGCCGCCGCCGCCTGCTGCTCACCGGGGGCCGCCCTCGCTCCGCCAGCCCCGCGCGGGGGCCGCTGCCTCCTCCCGGACAGCGCGGGGCGCCGCGCGGAGCGCTTGGCCCGGCGGACGGGCGGGCGGGCGTAGCGGCCCCTGGCGGCCGAGGCAAGGCGAAGGCAGAGAGACCTCTGGCTCCCGCGGCTCCGCCGGGATGGACATCTCTGGTGCAGGCTGGGGTAACTCCGAGAGGTCCCTCAAGACTTTCGTGGTCTTGGGGCTTCCTGGGACCGGGATGGGGCGCTGAGTGTGAGGAGTGATTGCCCAGCCCTTCACGGGTTTTGAGCCTTAAAGATTCTAGAACTGCCCTGTCCAATACCATAGCCACTAACCGAATGTGGTTATTTAAATCTAAATTAAATAAAATTAAAAAATTAAATTTCTCCTTCACACTCACCGCATTGAAAGTGCTCAATAGCCACATGTAGCTAGGGACTACTAGTATTGGGCAGAAAATATATAGAACATTCCTTTTATTGCACACAATTCTATTCGACAACGTTCGTCTAGATTGATATGTTAACCCTCCGCTGTTACAATGTTAAAATCCAGGAGGGAATAGCAAATGATCTCTACCCCAGGAGTGGCGACCTCGGGGGAGAGGAAGGACTAGGGGAGGAATGAGGGTAGAGAAGGGGCGGGCAGGAGGGCTGCAATGGGCTTGTGAATGGTCCCTATGAACGGTGTGTGTTAACCCAACTTGGGAACCAAACTCTGAGACCCTGTTTCATTATCATAAAAATTGCAATATAATTACAATTTTATAATTCTTTACAGGGTAAAATTTTAGATGTGAAAGTAATAGACAAATGGGAGAGGGAGGTGGTCTGTAAATTTGTCTCTTAATGGGAGAGACATTCCTTGTAGTTTAAGAGGTCTTTGGGGGTGGAGTAACAGGGAGGAGAGAGGCAAGGGGAAGAAGCCCAGTTCTGGGCCCAAGCCGCTGCATGTGGCCAGGGATAAAGGGGCCTGTCTTGAGGATGCCCAATCCCCCTCTTTTAGCTGAGGCCTCACGTACCCCTGGTAGGGCCAGCCACTGAGCAGAGTCTCAGTTCTCAGCACAGAAGAGTATCTCTCAAGTCTGCTTTCTCCCACCCCACCTCCCTTTTCTCTCTCACTCTCTGCTGCCTCAGGGATAAGTAGAGGTGATGACCTTCTCACCAGGTTCTGGGGCAGTCTGAGGATGGAGGAGGTGTGACGATGCCAGGAATAGGAGGTGAGAGTTTCAGGGAGAGGAGAGCCTTAGGATTTGGGTATGGTCAGGGGCTGTTCTGGAGCCCAAGGGAGCCGGTGACATCCCTGCTGACCATCTGGTGCTGAAGCTAGGCGGTCTCTGGGCATTAGTTCTGTGGCCCACTTGTAGCTGCACCATGATGGGTGCTTCAAAGAGCAGGGATTAGAGAGCCGGGTGACACAGTGAAGTGGTAAGCACACTGTCCCAGAAACACTGCATAATAAAAATAGCCAGGATGTTATATATTTTTTCTTCAGTCTTTGGCCTTGTTTACGCCATTTATCTGAGAGCTGGCTCCAGTTTTTCTCAAACAGGAGGGAAATATCCATAGCACAGCATGTTCTTTGTCCCCCTGTCTGCCTGTGCCCCTCTATGTGCCTATGTCTTATTTTTTTTTTTCTCATGACTTCTTTTTCTCTGGCTGTCTCTGCCCAGAGTGCAGGCATAATTATAGCAAGTCTACAAACCTGAATGACTATTGTGAGCTTTTCATTTGGAAGCTGCCAGGAAAGCCATCCCTTCTGGGGGCACAGTTTAGCCCAGGGAACAGAGAGGGTTATGGTCACAAAGCACTCTGCCAGCAAAGCCCAGAGGTAGAGTCCCAACCATGAACTGGGTGCCAGTGGTCCCTGAGGGCTACCCCCGACTTGCATTAGGGCCACAAGAGCCTTGTCCCCATTTGGACCATGCATGGGGTAGGAGGTGCCTCTGGAGGCCTAGTGATCAATTCCCTGATACCAGGTTTAGGTATAGAGCTCTTCCACCATCAGTACCATCCTCCTCTCTCCGGCAGGGGCTTAGTCTGGCCTCTGTCTCCCCCTGGCGGCAGCCACAGAACTTGTTCCGCAATCCTGGGACTGCCCTCAGCCTCTGCCTTAAGGGGAAGAGGAAGGTGGGAGAGGAGGAACCCCTACTCTTCTCTCTGCCATTCACCTTCCTCTTAACCCTTCCTCTCTCAGGCCGACAAATCAGCTTGGTTCTTAAGACAGAATCGGGTTGGGCGTCCAGGGACTGACATTGGTGTGAATCTCTCACTGGCTGTGTGACCTCTTGGGGGCAAATCATGTAAAATGACAGGAGTTCCAGTTCTGCCTTATCAGCAAAAAGAACATAATAAGACACACTTGAAGGGTTGGTGTGCGGTATAAATGGCCTAATATATGGAAAGTGCTTTGTAGAGGGCCTACTATGTGGTAAGTCCTCAACAAATGGTAGTAGTTGTTGTTATTGTTATCCTTACTAACTAGTCCTGCTGGGGTCAGGGAAGGTCTAAATGTGGAGGGAAATTGAGTCCTGAGAAAGAAAGTGGAGTCGGAGTGGCAACCGCTCTCCCACATCTAGAGGTGGTCTTCACTGGGAACAGTGCCGACAGGGGCCCAGGACCTTGCCTCCGCTCCCTAATTCAAGTTGGTGGCTCCAGCCTGCGTTGTTACCACTCCCAAACCACCCCCCACCCCCAGCACCAGCTCGCTTGCCCTCACTCTCACTCCAGCAGCCCCAGCCAGAGGTGTTGTCACACCAGGTGCTTTACACCCAGCGGTCGCCGAGGCGGCTGGTTTCGCTGTGAGGTCATCAGTTCCATCACCCTCCGGACGGGCTGGCCACAACGAACCGAGGGGCGAGGGGACACCACCCTCCCGTCACAATGGGGAAGTTCTAGCTGATGTCTAATCCAAAGCATGGCTGAAATAGGGTTTCCTTCTCTCCGCCCCCTTCCCACAACAGCAGACCCTTCTTCCCCAAAGAAACTGAGGCGGGGCGAAGCCGGAATGGGGCGGGGAAGACGCCGCAAGCCTGTGGGGCGGTTCGTGGGGTGGCCCAAAGCAGGATGAAGTTTTGCCGGGGACCGGCCCTGCCCGGCGCGAGCCAATGGCAGGGGAGAACCGGCAGGAGCGAGCACCGCCCACCGCGAGCCCTCGGGGGCGGGGCCTGCCCAGGGGCGGGGCCACGGCCGAGGGCGGGGTAGGGAGGCAGCATGCTAAACCGGGTGCGCTCGGCCGTGGCGCACCTGGTGAGCTCCGGGGGCGCCCCGCCTCCGCGCCCCAAGTCGCCGGACCTGCCCAACGCGACCTCGGTGCCGCCTGCCGCCCCTCCAGAAACGCCCAAGAGCCCTCCGGCGAGGACTGGGAGCGGGAGCGCGGCGCCCGCGAAGACAGTAGAGGCTCGAGCGAGCTTCTCCAGACCGACCTTTCTGCAGCTGAGCCCAGGGGGCCTGCGACGCGCCGACGACCACGCTGGCCGGGCTGTGCAAAGCCCCCCGGACACCGGCCGTCGCCTACCCTGGAGCACAGGCTACGCCGAGTGAGCGCCCCCGGGGGCTTTCCAACCAGGATGGGAACCTCACCCCCACCCCCTCCCCACCTCGGCATCTCGGGCGCTAGGATGCGTCCCCCTCGCCGCGCTTGGTGCCAGGACCTCCGTTTTCCCAGGACCTTTGCTCTCCTCTGGGCTTTGGGCCGCACCCTTTCCCCTTTCTCAAGTCGGGCGCAGCCTTCCTCAGGACCTTCCAGCTCGTTGACTACCCTCACCCGCGCCGCTCAGGACCTTGTTCCCTCCCGAAGCCCGAGGGTGGAGGGCGCCGTGAAGGATGAGTTGGCCAGTTCTCAGTCGCGGCAGGGCCGTTTAATGGCTAAGGGAGGAGAGGTTTCAAGGAGCGGGGCTCCCTTTTAATAGGGGAGATGGCGGCTGGGAAGACTCGCTCCTGGACTTTCCGACCCCAGCGCCCCAGTTCCCTGTTCCTCTTACCGTTCCCCTCCCCCTCCACACCCAGAAATAGCCCGCGACACCAGGCAGCCTCCGGCTTCCCCAGGGACGGGGGAGGGGGCAGCCCGGGGAAGCGGGAGGGTCTCTTTAGAACGCCCCTCGGAGGATGGACTTGCGCTGGCCAGGCAAGGAGGTCGACCCCCGGCCGGGAGCGCTCGGAGTGGCGGGAGCAGCCGGCTTGCTCCCAGACTGCGTGTATTTTTAATGCATCTGCTGGGAAAGCGGAGCACTGGGAGATGGGGCGCTGAGGTCGCTGAGGGTGGTGGCTGGTGGCCCCGTGGCCCCACCACCAGCTCTTTTGGCTTCCTATTTAGGAAGAGGTGGTGGTTATGTGACTCCTGCGCAGTCCAGGTGGGCTTCCACCCCTACCCTATTTCAATTCCTCTTTCCCGATCTGGGCCGGTGCACTTCCTCATTGCCAAAGCGGCAGAAACTTTAACTGGATGGTTTTAGGATAAGGGTGGTCGTGCCCATGAGGGTGGGGTGCTGTGGACAAGGCACTAGAAGAGTTCATTGGGGTTCAGGGTGGGATGTAGGGTCTTGGCCAAAGGAAGTAAAACCTCCTGCCCCCTATGCAGACCCTCCCCCAGCAGCACCATTAGGGGTGCCCCCTTTGCCTGGGAGGGGGGAACTGAGGCAGGCAGGTGCTGCTGCCCGCCTTTCTATGAGGTGGGAGAGCCTGCCACCCAGACAGTACTCCTTGTGCCTTGCCCTGCCTCCCTTCTCCTCCCTCTGGCCTGGATCCCAGGTGGCTGTGACCTTTCTCAGCTTGGCCAGCAGGCCAGAGAGGGTGTGTGTATCTAAGGTGGTGGTTATTCTAGGACCCGGTCTGGTGTCCAACCTGATGTGGTCACTCTGGCCTGGCAGGGTCATCAACGCTGGCAAGAGCCGGCACAATGAGGACCAGGCTTGCTGTGAGGTGGTGTATGTGGAAGGTCGGAGGAGTGTTTCAGGGGCACCAAGGGAGCCTAGCCGAGGCCAGGTAAGCCCCCACCCCCCTTCCTAGCCTCCAGTGACAGGGTGACACCTCTCCCCAGGGATTACAGCTAGCCAGTTTTAAATCTGAGACATGTGAAAGACCTACCTCCTAATTCACTAGCTTTCTGTCTTCTGGCATGGAACCTTTATCTGGCATTGATCAGTTAGATTCTACCATGTCAGTATGAATGTTTAGTTTTCCACTTAAAATACAGATGCTCATGAATTTATGGATGATTTAATTAATTATCAATACTTATTCTTGCATCTTTTATTCTCTGAGTTTGGCTTTTTTGATGCTTTCCTTTCTCTGACACATAGTAGGCCTTTGGTGAATAAGTGAATAAATCTAATTTGCCTTTAATGCCAAGCTCTGACCTCCTCTCTGATGTTTAGATGGATGCCTAGAGGCTAGCTCTTCTTCTGCATCACACACACACACACACACTCATCTCCAACTTTTCCTCTACCAGGGACTCTGCTTCTACTACTGGGGCCTATTTGATGGGCATGCAGGGGGTGGAGCTGCTGAAATGGCCTCTCGGCTCCTGCATCGCCATATTCGGGAGCAGCTAAAGGACCTGGTAGAGATACTCCAAGACCCCTCGCCACCTCCCCTCTGCCTCCCATCCACGCCAGGGGCCCCAGTTTCCTCTGATTCCTCTCACTTGGTTGGTCCTCAGTCCTGCTGGTCTTCGCAGAAGGAAGTGACCCATGAGAGCCTGGTCATAGGGGCCATTGAGAATGCCTTCCAGCTCATGGTGAGTGGGCAGTCTGGACCAAGGGCCTGCTAGGCAGACACTGGTCAACTCTATATGGGAGTCAGGTGGCCTGAGGCGGTGACCCTGGGAACTCACACCACCTTTGAAAGCCCGAGCAGAACTTGGTTCAGAGGGCAGGGAGAAGGGGCAGTTATACCCACGTCTTCCCTCCTCACTTCCAGTGTGGCTTGGCTGGGCCAGTTTATTTCTGCAGATGGAGGGGGGGTGGCTGTGTGCCTGGAACCTCTTCTTCACCCACCCCCTTTGACCCTTCCTCACGTGGCAGGATGAGCAGATGGCCCGGGAGCGGCGTGGCCACCAAGTGGAGGGGGGCTGCTGTGCACTGGTTGTGGTCTACTTGCTAGGCAAGGTGTATGTGGCCAATGCAGGCGACAGCAGGTATGAAGGGGGGCTTTGAAAATGGCTACAGGGGGCATACTCTCTGGGGTGGGGGAATAGAAACAAGTGAGGTGGCAGGTGTTAAAAATCAAAGATTGGAGGGCCAGCCCGGTGGCGCAGCGGTTAAGTGCGCGCACTCCGCTTTGGCGGCCTGGGGTTCGCAGATTTGGATCCTGGGTGCGCACCGACGCACCGCTGGTCAAGCTGTGCTGTGGCGGCATCCCATATAAAGTAGAGGAAGAGGGGCACGGATGTTAGCTCAGGGCCAATCTTCCTCAGCAAAAAAGAGGAGGACTGGCAACGGATGTTAGCTCCGGGCTGATCTTCCTCACAAAAATAAAAAAAAAAAAATCAAAGATTGGAGAGGGTCAGGAGGGATCACAGACGTAAGGAAGGGACTGAAATAGTCATGAAGGAGAAAAGATGGGGGTCTGAGTGAGGGATCCTAAGGGTCATTATGGGGAGGGCCTCGTCTTTCTGGAATTCTCCTTGAAGGGGCTGAGGAAAGCCAAGCCCAAACCTTTTCTTTCTCTGGGCAGAGCCATCATCGTCCGGAATGGTGAAATCATTCCAATGTCCCGGGAGTTCACCCCGGAGACTGAGCGCCAGCGTCTTCAGCTGCTTGTAAGTAGGAACTAAACTCTCTACTCCCACTTTCGGTTGTCTTGTGTCTCTCTGTCCCCAAGAACTCTCACACCCACACCACACAGACAACTCCTTACTGGGAGCTTACTGGGAAGGCCACTCTGCAAACTATGGAGTGCAGGGCTGAGCTGGTAGAGGGTGCAGTAGGAAGAGCGTGGGCTGCTCCAGGGCTCCCACTGTGGCCCCAACTGAGGAAGGAAGTGGAGTCAGAGGAGGGGGAAGGAAACAGCGAAGGCCCCTGAGAGGCGGTACGGCTCAGTGTTTTAAAGCACTGGCTCTGGAGCTGGACTGCTGGGGACTGAATCCGGGTTCGAGTACTTTGCTGACTGTGTCACCTTTGACAATTCCCTTAACTTGCATCAACAGTTCCTGCCTTAGGGTTGTTATGAGGATTAAATAAATTAATAAATGTTAATAGTAGAACAGTGCATGGCACAGAGCACACTCCATTTAAGGGTCTGCTATAATTAACATCACCTCTACAGCAGGGTGTGCTGTCAGCCTAATGCCCCTGGTCCTTCTGCTCTCTCTGGCCACTCCCAATCCCAGGGCTTCCTGAAACCAGAGCTCCTGGGTGGTGAATTCACCCACCTTGAGTTCCCCCGCAGAGTTCAGCCCAAGGAGCTGGGGCAGAAGATGCTGTACAGGGACCAGAACATGACCGGCTGGTAACACTTCCCTCAGAGCTGGGGCCCGTTCCCATCGCAACGCAACCAATCCCTTACCAGCAGCAAGGTGGAAGCTCGAGGCTGGACCAGGCTGGGAGCTGGGGCATTGGGCCCTTCTAAGGGGTCTGTGTGAGGGGCGTGGCTCCTAGGGGAGAGGGGCTTTGATGCCTGGGTGATGCCTCTTCTACTCCCCCCTCCCCAGGGCCTACAAAAAGATCGAGCTGGAGGATCTCAGGTTTCCTCTGGTCTGTGGGGAGGGCAAAAAGGTAAACTCCATGGTAGAGATGGGAGAGGGCAAGAGGACCCACTGCAACTTGTCTAGGGAGGTGGAGGTTCTACCTGAGGGTAGGGGTGGGAGGGGTCCACGGTTTCAGAGAGTCAGGGAGAGGGCTGTAGCAGCACCCCCTCCTCATTTCCTTTAGGCTCGAGTGATGGCCACTATTGGGGTGACCCGGGGCTTGGGAGACCACAACCTCAAGGTCTGCAGTTCTACCCTGCCCATCAAGCCCTTCCTCTCCTGCTTCCCTGAGGTGAGCCATATGGGGGCCCCCTGAACCACACCTTCCCTCCTCTGGGGGTCTCAGGCTGGCTTTCATTCCAGGTCCTTTTATCCCCAGGCTCCCTCTCCATCCTCTTTCCTACCAGGTGCAAGTGTATGACCTAACGCAGTACGAGCACTGCCCAGATGACGTGCTAGTCCTGGGAACAGATGGGCTGTGGGATGTCACCAGTGACTGTGAGGTAGCTGCCACTGTCGACAGGGTGCTGTCAGCCTATGAGCCCAATGACCCCAGCAGGTATGGGTTGTATGGCAGCGAGGGGGGAACAGTGGGGAAGGAAGGGGCAAGGGAAGCAGTGTTTGGGGACCCACATGAGGGCCTGTGCATCTATCTTCCTGTATACATGTTGGTACATGAATGTGCACATGTGCTCCTGGCAGGTACACAGCTCTGGCACAAGCTCTGGTCCTGGGGGCCCGGGGCACCCCCAGGGATCGTGGCTGGCGTCTTCCCAACAACAAGCTGGGTTCCGGGGATGACATCTCGGTCTTCATCATCCCCCTGGGAGGGCCAGGCAGTTACTCCTGAGGGGCTCAGCCCTGACCCTCCCACCACTATCCCAGCCTCTCCAGTCTTACCCCTCTCCCAGCCCAAATTCTGAAGTTGTCTCCCTGACCTTCTTTAGTGGCAAATTAACTGAAGAAGGGGTATCAGTTAGATACAAAATTATAGCTATTGGCAAATAAACCAGATGGATAAAGGTGTGTGTCTTTATGTATTTTGACTAGAAACAAAAGATAAGAAAAAGCTCTTTGGGGTAGGGGAAAGAACACCAGAATAGTCCTAAAAATGTAGTGTTCCCAGGTTCTTTCTTCTACCCTCTGCTCTTCCCACTCCACGCACTCTCATCCTCTTCTGATTCTCATCCACTTCTGTGGCTTCATCTACCTGCTGGTGTCTCCCAAGTCAGTATTTCCAGCCCAGCTCTCTCCCGAGCTTTAGACCCACATATTCCAGTCGTCTCCCAAACATCTCCTAGACATCCACAGGCACTTCAGTTCAACATACCTCGAGCTGGATTCATCATTTCCCCCACAAACAGGCTCCTTCTCCTGGTTCATCATCTCAGTGGGCATCAGCTCAGCCTCTTTAGAAATCTTGGAGTTGGTCACCTTTGACTTCCATCTTTTCCTCATCAAGCTAATCAATCACTAAATATTGTTGATTATATATTTTAAAATACATTTAATATCTGTCCACATATCTCCACCTCCACTGTCATTACCGTAGTTCTTTACTACATCAGCCTCCTAACTCATCTCCTAACTCTGTCTTCAGGCCACCCCCCCTGCGTCCCCCAATATATTAGGGACACAGCAGCCAGGGTGACCTTTCCACAATGCGAGTCTGAGTTGGTTATTCCCCTGAGAGAACATTACAGTGGCTCGTTACTGCACCTAGACCAAAATCGACACTCAAATCTTGAGCATGGCATATAAGGACCTTCATGATCTGGCCACTGCTTCCTTCTCCAGCCACCTCTTTCACCACCACCACCACCTTCCTGGGGTTTCAGTAACCCTGTGGGCCTGTAGTAGCTCCAACTCATTTTAAAGTGTACTCACCACCTTATCTTGAACACTTCACCTGTCTTCCAGGGCTGGGTATTGCACAGCCCACACGCCCCACTACAGCAACTGCCTCCTGTATTATAACTGCCTTTGTGAGGAGTTGGTGTGGAGCAGCAGCTAAGAGCAGAGCTCTAGAGTCCTGCTGTCTGGGTTCTGGTGCCAGACTCAACACTAGCTCTGTAACCTCTCTGAGCCTCAATTTGCTTCTCATTAAAATGGAGATAACAGTACTAGCTAAGAGCAGAGCTCTAGAGTCCTGCTGTCTGGGTTCTGGTGCCAGACTCAACACTAGCTCTGTAACCTCTCTGAGCCTCAATTTGCTTCTCATTAAAATGGAGATAACAGTACTACCTTATATGGTGGTTGTAAGGTCTAAAGTAGTTCATGTATGAAGAGCGAGGTCCATGTACAAAGGGTTCGATAACTGTTAGCTATCTTTAAGTTGTCTGTCTTCTGAATTTAGATGGTAAGTACTTTGAAGGCAGAAATTGATCTGAACTGAGCACATAGCTCTCAGTTCACACTCAATAAATGTTCACTGAGCAAGTTAAGAGGCCTGGGGACCAAACTGCTCTGGACCTCAGTTTCTTCATTTATCAAATGTGTGGGTTGCACTTCAGATCTTTAAAGTCTGTATGATTTCTAACATTCATTCAGGGAATATTTGTTGAAAAGCTAGTATGTGCCATACACTGTGTAAGACAGTGGGGAAGGGACAGGTTGGAGGAGCATGGGGGACAGCAGGGAGGGAACACCGGCTTTGGAGCCAGGTAGACCTGACTGAATTCTTGCTCTGTCACATACAAATCACAAAACTTTGGGCGAGCCACTTAACTTCTCTGAGCCTCAGTTTCCTTACAGGCAAACAGGGATCGGTATACTAAACCTAAAGATCTGTGTTGAGTATTAAAAGGGCTGAGCTATACAGTGTACGGAGCACGAGATAATAAAATGTTGGTAGACTTCCTCATCCTCCATCCACCTCCTCAGCCACCACACAGGGAAGGAGATGCACTTGTAGGTAAATACCCAGTGCGACCAGTCAGACGGGGCTAAGTGTCCCTAGCGGCACAGAAATAATACAATGGTGGTAGGAACTGAATTCCAGCTGGGGATCTGGAAGGATTTCCAAGAGGGCCTTTTGAGGGATAGGTAGGAATTGGACTCCTGGAATTTCCAGACAGGGAGAAGGAAGAGAACTGTGAGGCAGAACGATGGCATGGATCTCAAAGGTTCTGAAAGGTCTTCAAGACTGGGGGATGACGTTGAGCTGTACTTACTCCGCAAAGATTCTAGGAGCAGAGGGCGGGCATCTGCAGCCCTCTCCTCAGGCGTCCCGGAGTCCGCCGTTTTCCAGTCCGGCCTCCCGCGAAGTCCCAGGTGGTGTAGGCGCGGGTGGCTAGTTGGCCACCGGAGGGCAGCAGCGGCCCTTTCCTGACCCCACCCCGAGCGCCTCTCAACTTTCCAGACGCCGGTCCGCCCCTCGGGGCTGGAAGGCGGGGCAGAGGCAGAGTCCTCGGGGGTCGCACCCGCCCCGCCCCGCCTCGCCGCCCATCCTCCACAGTCCAGGCATCTCTCTACCCAGGGGTCGAAACCGCAGACCCCGCAGCTAGCTGCGGGGCGACCCGCGGTGGCCCTGGGCTGGGGCGGTGGGCGGGCGGAGCCAAGGTTCGTCGCTGGCCTGGCCCTCCTCCCGGGCCCGCCCCTCCCCGCGGGCCCGCCCCTCCCCGCCGCCGCGCTGAAGGAGGGCGGGGCGGGGCCCCTCGGGTCAATCTCAGCCTCCGGCAGCGGCCGCGCAGCTGGAGGCGGTCGAGCGGAAGGTACCCTGGGCTGAGGGCGGGGGGCGGCGGGCGGCCCGGGAACTCGTCCCCGGGCGAGTACCTTTCCCCTTCTCCGCTAGGCGGGAGCTCGGGGCGCCGGCTGGGGAGCGGGCTTTGGCCAGAGCGCGGGTCGCCTTCCCACCCCCTCGGATGCGGCGTCTTGGCTGTGCGGGGTCGGGCAGGCTTGGCCCCTCCCTGGGCTGCAGTAGGGGACCCCCGGGAACTGCCCCGCAGGGCCTCTCGCCTCCTGGTGTCCGAGCCGGAGTTCGTTCCTTTCCCCTCCCGGCTTCCCGGAACCTGCCCCGCCGGGCGAGGGGTGAGGGGCGAGGGGGCAACTTGAGTCTCCGCGATGGAGCCCCAGCCCGGACTCTCTAGCTCCCATGCCCGGCGGCCCGAGGTGGACCTGGGTGCGGTGTGGGTCTGGGCCCGAGTTCGGGTGTCGGTGGGAATTCCCCCGGGCCAGACTGGTGGAATGGCGGGAATAGGGGCGGGGTGTGACCACGGGGGCTGCCACCGCTCGGCGGGGTCTGGACGCCGCCCTAAGCGGTTCCAGGAGCCTGCCTGTGGTGGGAGGTTGGGGAGACTGGGAAGGATCCAGCTCCTGTGTGTTGTGTGTGTGTGTGAGAGAGAGTGAATCTCCTCCCTTCCAGCCCTCTCCATCACACTCCCCAGTCTGGCTAAAGATTATCCTAGAGGTTTGGGCTGGAGGACTCGAGGCTACGTCCTCCCCTCACTTCTGGTTTTAATGTTGAAGAGTAGGTATCTGACTCCTTCCCCAGACCTCAGGAGTGGTGGGCAGGGTGCAGTGGACCCCTGGGTCATCTGGAAATCTAGAGAGTGATTAAGAGACAGGGCAAGTGTCTTGTCTCAGGGAAGGCCCCAGCAGTTCCAGGCTCCATTCCAGGCCCTGTATGGGGTTTGGTTGCCCCTTGTAGGGTCAGTGGGGTAGTTCCTCTGGGGCTGCCTCTCACAGGGAGTTGTTGTCCTTGCCATCTTGGCCCTGGGCCTAGTGGCCTGGTCTGGCCTGGGCTAGCTGTTCTTCTGGCTCAACTAGACCCTGAAGGGAAAGCCTTCTAATTGAGCTGGGGGCCCCAGTCACTTAATGCATGCCCTTGCCCCTGAGTTCTGACCACTGCCTCCCACAGTCTGGTGCCACTTAAAGTGCCCTGCTGGGGGAGGGCAGTGGCATACTGGTACCTGAGGAACTGTTATTCACTCTCCACCAACATTGCCTATCCCAGGTTGGCGGTATCCCAGCATGTTTTCACAGAGCTGGACCAGTGGAACTGGTGGGAGTGGGTGGGGGGAGTTGGTCACCTGGCTAGAATTTCCAGGGATCCCCTTTTGGAAGGATGGTTTCCATTTTGGAGGGGATCTGCTGACATGGTGAATGCCTTCTTGCCTGTGTTTTGGGGTATCAGGGAGAGCCCCTTCTGTGGTTGGGAGAGTGTGGCTGTGTATTCTCAACTCCTATAAATTCTCTCTGACTCATATCCACTACCCCTCATCCCAGTTTTCTGTGTATGAGTGTGAGTGAGTGAGGGGAGGGAGGCCGCCGGGGATTCCACTGTTGAAGAGAACTAGCCTTGGGCTGGAGTATTCAATTCCTAAAAGGCAGGCCAACCGAGGCAAGGATGAGGTGGTGGTGGTGTGTGGGGAGTAAAGGAGTTCAGCCCAGTTTGACAGGATGTGGGCCTGAGAGAAAAAGCCAGGTTTTGGGCAGAGATCAGGTTACCATCCCCTTCTTTCTTAACTACTCCCTGCCTGGTTGGTGCTGGGACTGGCCCTCATTTGTCTCTTTTTGGGGGCTCCTCCCAGCTCAGGCTCTAGCCCCCTCCCCCTTCCCAACAGCCTCGACTTCATCTCTGCTCCAGAGCCCGCCCTCTCTTCCTCCCCGGCTGTGGGCCTGGGAACTTCAGCCGGCTGGAGGTCAGCTCCTCTCCCCAGGGAAAGAGGAAGTGAGGCTCAGCTCAGGGGCAGGGAAGCTGGGAAGGTGTGATGAACTGTGCAGATGCCCATTCCTGTGTGTTGGGGGTGGGGGACACATGGAAACCCCGGGAAGCTGACTCCTTGCCCTGAGTCACAGGGAGGGTTGGGCAGTGCCTTGGGGTGAGCTGGACAGAGGGGAAGAAGGGAGTGGGTGGAGGTGTTTCCCTAGTGGATTATTCTCAGTCACTCTGCTGTGGTGGATGTGTGGCTCCCTACAGTGTGGTCATTGTCCCCTGCCTGGGGCTGAGTGACCCAGTGTTGCTGCCAGGCCCAGGAGGAAGGGGGGAGGAAGGCAGGCTGCCCAAATGTGGGCTGTGGGCACTGCCGGGACTGAGCCTCCTTTGTGTGACTCGGGGCTTTGGGGACCAGTTTGGGGTGGGCCGGGGAAGCCGCTGGCTGCTGCCACTGCCCTCTGTCTGGATTTCCCTCCCTCTGCTCTCCGTCCCACCTCTGGGGTGATATGTAGAAAAGACAACAGACTCTAGAGTCACATGGCCCTGCTTTGAGTGCTGTCCCTGCCACGACTCTGAGCATGTGTCTTAACCTCACTGAGCCTCACTTTCCTAGTTTCTCAAAATGGGAAGCGCACCATCTCCCTTCCAGGCTTCTGGGGACTGAGAGAGATGATTTTTGTCAAAATGCCCAACATAGTGCCTGGCCCCTAGGGGCTGGAAAAATATTCTTTGCCTTACCCACCCACCACCTGGTAGCTGGTTCTGCTAGCTTGTGGTCTTGGAGAGGGACTCCTCATTTGTGACTGGGCAGGCATGACTACTGCTGAGTGAGGGGCAGTGTGTTCTAGATTTTGGACCTTAGCCATTATTAAAATTTAAAAGTATCAAATTCCTGGTAACAAATGAAGTCTGACTTGAAACCCTGATGTGGACAGTTATGCACCACATAACGATGTTTTGGTCAACAGTGGACCACATATATGACGGTGGTCCCATGAGATTAGTACCACATAGCCTAGGTGTGTAGTAGGCTGTACCACTAAGTTTGTGTAAGGTACACTCTCTGATGTTCCCACAATGGTGAGATCGCCTCACAACGCATTTCTAAGAACATGTCCCCATCGTTAAGCTATGCATGACTGTATAGCAGATAAAAGCTGGCTCTTCTGGACTTATCCCTGATCCCTGAGTACCCTCCAGCTGTCTAGGGTCCCAGACTTGGTGAGCGTGTTAGATCAGAACTCAGGTTTTCTTGGCTCCCACGTAGGTGGTTCTTCCACCTGCTCTGTATTCTGACCCACTGGAGGAGACCTGGCCCTGGCCCTGAAGTTAGGAATTTCAAGCTCAGTTGCCGGAACAATTGGTTCTTGGCTAGAATATGCTGGAGTTAGCCCCTTTTCCCTCCCTTTGCTGGATGCCTTGGTTTCCAGGGAGGTCTTGGGGGCCCCAGAGAAGTGTTTTTGGACTTATTGGCTTTTCCCAAAATCTTCACTGCCTTTTCCTTGCCAGCCCAAGCCATGGCTGCGATCCGAAAGAAGCTGGTGATTGTGGGGGATGGGGCCTGTGGGAAGACTTGCCTTCTCATCGTCTTCAGCAAGGATCAGTTCCCAGAGGTCTACGTCCCTACTGTCTTTGAGAACTACATTGCAGACATAGAGGTGGACGGCAAGCAGGTAAAGGCGAAGAGCCCCTTCCCATCTCACCTTGGGACCCCGCCCCTGCCACTTATGGACCTGGGATGTCCTTCCTCATCACCTACCCAGTCCTTGCTCTGCTCTCCCTACTGGAACCAAACAAGTTAGGAAGTGGATGGAACTGCAGTCTTAGGAAATCTAGCTACACCTCCTGGTTCTCTACACACTGGCTCTGTAATCTGGGACCAGTCCATCTGCCTCTGAGCTTAAGCTCCTCGACTGCAAAATGGGGATAATGAAGGAGGGTAAGGCCCCCTTTACAGGGTTTTGTGAGGATTAAATAAAATAGTGGTGCTCACAATGGGAACTCTTCCATTGCAGAGTTTGGCATTGCACAGACTGCACAAAGATCAAGCACTGATGTCTCAGGATTTTAAAAAACTCACCTAATTTATGTCGTATGACAGTGATTAGCACTATCCCTGGCACATAGCAGGTGCTCAATGGATAGATGTCCAGTAAGCCTGAAGTAGCAGTGGTTTCAGTGAGGACCTCTGGGTGGCAGGGGAGGGATGTGTGTAACCGGGCCCTGAGACCGCTACTTACTGGCCCTGTGTGTCAGGTGGAGCTGGCTCTGTGGGACACAGCAGGGCAGGAAGACTATGATCGCCTGCGGCCTCTCTCCTACCCAGACACGGACGTCATCCTCATGTGCTTCTCCATCGACAGCCCTGACAGCCTGGGTGAGGCGGGGGTGAGGCCGTTGGAGGGAGGGAAACAAGAACCCCTTGGAATCAACCAACCGGAGGTAGCTCTTGCCTTGGCTCATTTTGGCCATCTTCAGAGGCTGAGGCTGTGGGGGAGCAGTGGGGGGCCCTCGTTAGCCTTCTTCACTGTGGTAACTCTGGCCCTTGTGAGGGCTCGGAAAGTGTACTGAGAGGGGGAGAGGTATTGAGCTGTGAAAGGAACTGTCACGCTGAATAGCCTCTAAGACTTGGCTGTGGGGAGACAAGGGGACCCCCCTGGGGGAGCTTTCTAGCCTGAGTGGAGGCACCAACACCTATTGGGACATGTTTGTGCAGAAAACATTCCTGAGAAGTGGACCCCAGAGGTGAAGCACTTCTGCCCCAACGTGCCCATCATCCTAGTGGGGAATAAGAAGGACCTGAGGCAAGATGAGCACACCAGGAGAGAGCTGGCCAAGATGAAGCAGGTCGGTGGGGCTGCCTGGCTGGGAGCTCTGGGGGAGGAGGGTGTCCTCCGACGGGTTGTAGGCTGGGAAACAAGGGAGCTGACTGCCTTGTGCTCCAGGTGCTGGTGGTGTACGCCTCCTAGCCCTCTAGTCTGCATCCTGGTGAGGAAGAGCCAGAAGGGCCCTCAGTGTCTGATCCAATATCTGATTAAACTGTCACAGAATGAAGTGATTTGTCCAAGGTCACTGGCATTTTAATGTATTCATCTGTTGTCCATTCTGTTTGGAGTTGGGGCTGTTAAGATGAATGAGAAAATCCCTGTCCTCAGGGAGACAGCTTATGATAGACGTTTCACTTGGGGCATGCAGGTTGTGCCATCCAAGTACATCTGGGGAGGTACAGGCTGACATGGATGTGAGAGGGAGGGCATTATTTTAAGAGGCTGAAAGAAAAGCCCAGAGTGAGGGAGCTGGCTTATTTGGGCACCTGGTAGGTGGGTCTCTAGCCAGATTAGAGTTTATTAGAGAAAGCTGCCAGGATAAGGAATATAGACTATCCTGCAAGGATAACCATGGTGAGGTTTTAAACTGGGGCCAGATGTGGTCAGGCCTGCATGTTAGAAAAATTATTCTCGCAGCCGTGGAGGATGGATTGGAAGAAAGTGAGAACGGAGGCAGGGAGGTCAGTTAGGAGATGCTAGGGACTCATTCAGGCAAGAGAAGGGTGTACTGTGGGGTATAGGGCTGATGGAGAGAATTTTGAATATAACCATAAGTCTTGGGTCCCTGGCCCTGAAGCTGCCCAGAGTGGCTGGGGGTTGGATGCTTTGTGGGGTCAGGGATGGAGGAGATATTTTAGTTACTACACGTATAGGGGAAGTGGTGAGAGGTACACCTAGCTACCAGCTTCTTGACCTCACCTTCCATCTTCCCAGGAGCCCGTTCGATCTGAGGAAGGCCGGGACATGGCGAACCGTATCAGTGCCTTTGGCTACCTCGAGTGCTCAGCCAAGACCAAGGAGGGGGTGAGGGAGGTATTTGAGATGGCCACTCGGGCTGGCCTCCAGGTCCGCAAGAATAAGCGCCGGAGGGGCTGTCCCATTCTCTGAGACCCCCAAGGCTTCCCCTACTTCCCCCCTCCCTTCACAGGGGTACAGAAACTACCCCCTCCCACCCCCATCCTCTTAGGGCTCCAAGCTGAAGGCTCCCTTTTTCAGTTCCTCCAGCCCAGGACTGCACTGAGTTTCCCCAGGCCCATGGTGGTAGGCCCATCCTCCTTCCCCTCCTCCCAGCTCTGGGAACCTAGGGCTATGCCCTGCCCTTCCAGAGCAGAGTCCCTCCTTCTGCCGCCTGGGTCCATGGGTAGGGCTCCTGATCCCTTTGGCCTTCCCCAGAGGATCATCACACACCAGCACTTTATACACTCCTGGCTCACAGGAGAGTGTCTGGGGTAGGGCACTGGGAGGGTGTAACCGAGCCCCTGGTGTTTCTGCTTTGGGCAGGGGCCTTGTCTCTGGCTATACTTGTTAGGGGGCATGAATAAAGGCCACAGGCTCCAACATGTGTGTGGCAGCTTCTTGTCTTTCTCTCGTGGTCCCTGACTTGGCTGTGAGCCTAGAGTCCCATCTCTCCGAGTTGCTTGCCAGGCTGGCCCCCTATCTGCAAAGGCAGGACTCCCGGGCAGGAGGGTGGAGTCTTGGAGCCAAGCATGAGGTCATGCCTGGCTCTGGGCCTTGGAGGCGGGTGAGGGGAGTGGTTTGGAGCAGAGGCTAAACTTAGAAGTCTGTGGGTGGCTTCCCTGCCCCCTCCCACTGGGTTTCCTCCCCTGGACTTGGGGGCTGGGTTCCTCTCTAGTGGGGAGGGGGATATGGCCCTAGGCAGTGTGACAGTCCCACTCTTCCCTCTGGGGCCAGGCTGAGGAGACAAGGAGGCTTTTGCATAGAACAAGATTTTGTTTACAGAGTTTTTCTTCCTCCCCCTTCCCCCAATTGTTAGCAGCTTGATGTGTCATTCTCCCCAGCAGGGGAGGGGGTGGAATGGCTTGGGTTGTAAACTCCCTCCCCCAGCCTTCCTGTCCCTTGGAGGGGCAGCTTGGCTGGGTTCTGGTTCAGGGTCGGTGGGCGGTTAAGGCTTGGCTGGTGTGAGAAGGCCGCTGCTGTGTCTTCAGAGCTCATTCCTCCACTCTGGCTCCACTTGCAGGGACAGGCCGCCTTCACCCTCCCGCTCCTGGGGGAGGTAGTCGTGACTTTGGGGCCCTAGTAAAAAAGGAAGTGAGCTTTGTCTTCCTTGCCTCCTCCCCCAGCACTGGCCCCTACCTGGCCCACCCTGGCCCAGCCATACCTGAGGTAGAGGGGCTGAGCTTGCTCAGACCTTGGAGTAAGTTCTGTCCCTGTGGCAGGTCCAGTTTGGCAGGGAAGGGGCACCCGGTATACCCCCCGTTGTCTTTGCAGAACTCCAGGAATCTGTGGGGTACAGGGACATTCACACACACACAGCTGCACAGGCCTGCCTGGGGAACATCAGCAGAGGCTGGAGGCTGAGCCGTGGTCCTGCCACAGCAACGTGCCTTTGGGCAAGTTGCTTAACCTCTGACTGTCAGGTAACTTAAATGGGGGTATTGGGAAGATGAACAGACCTGAGGATTAACTGAGCCACAAAGAGGTGCTTAACAAAGGTACACCTGCCCTAGGCTGGGGGTTGTGGCTACCAAGAAGGATTACAAGGTGGGAATGCTCACGTTTTCCAGTCGGGGTCATGGCCCAGGAGGAGCGGGTTGCCCACCACGATGAGCAAGGCCTTGGCCCGGGTCACAGCCACGTTGAACCTCTGAAGGAAGAAGTGGTGGGGTCACTGGAGGGAAGGGCCCCAAGAAAGGAAGGTTCCCGCCACCTGCCAGCCCTCAAACCTTGGGGTTCTTCAGGAAACCCAGGTTAAAGTCCAGATCCAGCTGCACAAAGCTCTGGCTGCTCCGCACGGTGGAGATGAGGATGACGCTGCGCTCTTGGCCTTGGAACTCCTCCACCGAGCCCACCTAGAGGGGAGAGGGGCAGGGCCTGAGCCCAGGGGCTTAGAGGGAGCCAGAGGAACAAGCCCTGCTTCAGGGGGCTTGAGCTCCAACAGGGTGTGGAGAAGTCACGGGCAGCTGTCACAGTGGAGTGAATGAGTGTCCTGACGGGGCCAGGAAGGAAGACAGGAGGATGCCAGGAAAGCAGAAACCTGAAGGGTGAATCCAGTTAAAGGGGCAGGGGCTGGAAAGTGTTCTGACCAAAGAAAACAGGGTTGTAAAGAACATGGTAACTCAGAGCAGTGTGTTTCAAAATTTCCTGAAGATAATCACTAAGTACTTGTTAAAAATATACAACCAGACCTCCTGAATCAGAATTTCCAAGGGAGACGCCTGTAAATCTTAAAGCCCCGGTTTTCAACCCTGGCTGCACACGAGATCACCTGAGGAGCTGTAAAAAAAAAAATACCGATGCCCTGGCTCTGCTCCCAGACAGCTGTGTTAAGTGGTTGGGTGGGGCCCTGGCGCTGGCATACTAAAGGCTCTCCAGGTGATTCTTCTCTGCAGCCAGGGCTGAGAACCACCACCTAAGAGGAAGAGTCAAGCTACTGACTGACTCAAAGGGTGGGAGAGGTGAGCTGGGATGCTATCACATGACAGGTGGGACAAGTCGGGGAGTGTGGACTTTATCCTTAGGGCAAAGGCCTTAAACCAGCCTGATCATGAGAATCGTGTAGGGTGCTTACTAAGCATGCAGGTTTCCTGATCCTATTCCAGACCTACAAGTTGGGAGCTCTAGGAGTCAGAGGCTTGGGTCTTAGGCAGCGAGGGTGGGGTGGGGACATGTGCTGGCCTGGAGCATCTGAGCAAGAGCCTGAGGTTCTCTCAGGAAGCAGAGAAGTGAGGGGCACAAGGCAAGAAGAGAATGTGAAAGAATGGTGTCACCTTCAAGTCCTTGATGTCATCCAGTCCCCGAAGCTCCTTGTCAAGTTTGGTGATGCAATAACGGATTTTTTCCACCTGGAAGATGGGGACAGGTGCCTTTCTCTCATGCCATTACTCGAATGCAAGAGGGAGCTAGGCAGGAGGCCAGAGAGCTGGGGGCAAAAAGGCAGGGGGCAGCTGACCTCTGAGCTCTTTCAGGATATGGGGCCAGCAGAGGCCTGAGCTCTTGGAACCTCTGCCTAGTGGTCTGGCTATGAAGGAGGTACCATCTGGGGGTTCCCAACCCTGATGGGAACTGAGGGCCTGACCTGCTTCCGGTATGGGGAGATGACGCCCACACTTCGGGGGCTCAGGCGGGCTTTGCCCTTCTTGGAGGACGGGGCCAGGAGCAGCTTCAGGTAGGAAGTCACAGTGGCAGCCTCTTCGGGGTTGAAGAAGGACGGGCTATTGCCCTCACGCTCGTCTTTGCCCATTACGCCATGAAAGATGATGGGAAAGCCCTGGACATGGGGTCAGGGGAAACCCTCAGCCGAACCTCCCTGCCTCCCTTCCCTCCCACCCCCAAACCCTTCCAGGGAATGTGGGATCCCAGGCCAAGGTGACAAAGGGAGGGACCTGTAGCTTCCACTCAGAGGCCCCTCCTACCCTGTACCTTTAGGAGGAGGCAACGTGGGGTACAGGGGTGAGAGCCTTAGCCCCTGCCCTGCTCAGCCTCACCTGTCGAGGCAGACCCTCCCAGCGGCAGAAGCGCTCTCGGTCCACAACATCAGCACAGGCCTGCAGCTCCCCTTCATAATAGAGCCGGTTAGGAATGTCCAGGATGGTGGGGTGAGACCTGGGACGCAGGAGGAGGAAGAAGAGCAAGATCAGGGGCCAATTACTATTGCCCTGCCCTCAGGGACCCCGCTCCACCTGCTCTGGGCCCACACACATTATCGTCCTACCCTGCTGCCCACTGGATAGCAGACTCATTCACCTATGATGTCTGCTAGTAGGCACTGTAAAACCACAGAAAGCAGAACCAAATGTGATTCCCGAGAACATCCGGTCCAAGGATTTCATAGACCAGGCAAATTTAAAAGAAAAAATAGGGCCGGCCCCGTGGCTTAGCGGTTAAGTGTGCGTGCTCTGCTGCTGGCGGCCCGGGTTCGGATCCCGGGCGCGCACCGACGCACCGCTTCTCCTGCCATGCTGAGGCCGCGTCCCACATACAGCAACTAGAAGGATGTGCATCTATGACATACAACTATCTACTGGGGCTTTGAGGGAAAAAATAAATAAATAAAATTAAAAAAAAAAAAGAAAAGAAAAAATACAAGAAATTAGGGACTCCTCAGGTTTCAATTTTGCCAAGGAAGGACAGTACAAAAACAAGTATCATCTACTATCCCCATTTTTTTTTTTTATAATTTTATTTATTTATTTTTCCCCCCAAAGGCCCAGTAGATAGTTGTATGTCATAGATGCACATCCTTCTAGTTGTACGTGGGACACGGCCTCAGCATGGCCGGAGAAGTGGTGCCTCAGTGCGGGCCCGGGGTCCGAACCCGGGCAGCCAGCAGCGGAGCACGCGCACTTAACCGCTAAGCCCTGGGGCCGGCCCGGAGGTATGAACTCATTGACTAAAGGAACTATAGCTCTTTAATTTGAATTAAAAATTAGGTTTATGAAAAACTACATTGTCCGTATTTTTCTCATTTCTCCTTGGATTGCCTGGAAACTTCATCTGGGACCTGCACCAGACACATCCCAGTGTCTGGGAACCACTGACCATTCCCCAATATACAGATAAGCCAACTGCTCTAGACTGAAGCAACTTGCTAAGTCACACTGCCAACGAATAGCACTGATGGAGCTAGAGAGGAGCCCCATCACTTATATATATATAAACCTTGCAGTTTATAATCCTTCTGTGTCACACAGCCTCTGAGCAGCAGGATCGCAAGATGGAGCCTCCAGCCGGGGCTGCACAGTGGGTGTGAAGGCATGGGATTGCAGGAGAGCCGAGGGTGCAGGATACCTGTAGTTGCGTAGCAGCTTGGTTATGAACTGGGGGTTATAGCCGTCGGGGCCCTTCTTGTACAAGGTGTTGTAGGTGAGCAGCCGCTCCAGCAGCGAGTACCCCAGCCCATGCTTCTGGGTCAGTGGGGAACGCAGCACAGGCCCCAGCTGCCGAGGGTCTCCTGCCAGCACCAGCTGCCCTCCTGGATTATCTGTTTCCTTGACTTCCATCAGCCCTGGGAGGCAAGGTAGGGTGGGGAGACAGGTAAGTGGTAGGACCTCCCCGACCCCATCCATGCAGGGTGGCACACCCATAGCCCACCCTGAGCCCTTCACCTGCTATGGCCACCAGACTCTCGGGCTCCATGGAGTGGCCAGCTTCATCGATGAAGATGTGTGTGAAGTGATCAATGGGAAACTGGGCCGAGACCAACCTGGGAGGTGTCAGGCCAGGGAGGGGTCATACCAGGCACCTGACTACCCAACCTGAATGCTCATCCAGACTGCCCCTCACTCACCTCCCCAGGCACCATTCCTCCCCGTCTCCCCAGCCTGCCCTTGACTTACAAGACCAAGAGACACACATCATACACACTTCCTACCTGCTGGCAGTGATGAGGGTGGTAATTAAGACACGATATTCCTGCAGCTTCTTCTTGGCAGGAAACACGTAATCGCCCTTCCTCGCATCCCAGTTACAGCAGGGCTGCGGGTTATGAAGGGAGAGGGGGAATTAGCTTGGCTCCACCCATTCTCACCTGCGCTCTGGCTCTGGGACCCCCCAGGCAATTTTATCCACCTCTCTCACTTTACACACAGGGAAACTGAAGCCCAGGGAGGAACCCTGACCCACCCATGAGTATCAGAACGCAGGGCTCCTGCTTTCCTGGCCCCAGTGACTACCCTGAGAGCCTCCCCAGCATCCACCATCCCTTGGCTCTCTGCACTGCCCCTCGTACCTTGATGTCCTCGGGCACCATGCGGATATCCCTGCTGGGGGCCAGGAGGCGGTAGATGGAGCTGGGCAGGTGGACCCGGAGCCGCTGACAGAGGAGGTCAGCCCCCGAATTGGACGGAGCGCAGGCCAGGATGTGGGCTTTAGGCAAGTGCTTCACCACCTAGGGTTGGGATAAGCACAGTGTGGGATGCAGCTTCCTGGTCTCCAGGGGAGAGGGAGAGGGAGAGACTTAGGGGTGACTCAGGCTGGCACAGTGTAGCATTTGCCTCCCATAGCTGAGGGAGGTAGTGACACAAATGGCAAGTTCTGATCCCCAACCCTCTGCTAGTCCAAATGGCACTTATGCGGGAAAAGTGCTGCAGTAAATATACACATCTACGACGACTGAAACATGAATGGTGATTCCAAGAGTCATGCAGTACGCAACCTGTGCAACAATGCTCAACAGCCACACTGACCCTTGATGCTAGCTCAGGGGCGTTCAGAGAGCAGGACAGAACCAGAATCTGGCAACAACTGCTTGGTCCCGGGGGAGTCAGAGTGTAGGACCCAGGTCTATGCTCAGGTCCCACCTGCTTGATGGCTTCCACTAAGGTGACAGTCTTGCCGGTGCCTGGAGGCCCAAAGATGATGTAGGGGGCTGGACGGGTGGTGCCCGTAACAATGTGCTTCATGGCCTGTAGCTGCTCGGGGTTTGACTCCAGACTCCGGTCATACAGCCTGGCAGAGGGGCCGGGAACATGAAGTCATCCAGTGTCCCAGGGGCCTCCCTGCCTCCATCCTCTATGCCACACTCCAGGTAGCCCCAGAGCCCTCCTGCCCACAGTCTCACTTGAGCTTCACATCTGAGGGCAGCAGCGGGACCCCACGGGAGGCCACGGGGAAGAGCATGGGCCACAGCGGCCAGCGCCCCGTCAGCTCCAGGGCACGATGCTGCACCCGCAGGGGCTGGCGGTTAAAGGTGAAGTTCACCTTGAAGGTCAGCCCATCCACAAAGCGGCTCAGGAGGCTTTGGGAAGGGAGAGAGGAGGAAGAGTTCCAGTTAGGGGTGGGCAACAAAAGGCCAGGACTCTCTCCATCTACCCCAACCCTACTTCCTTTTTCCAAGACCTCCATGCAGTCCCTCCAGGAGAGGAAGCTGCTGAGGCATCTCAGGGTCCCCCTGATCTCAGGGAGAAACACTCCTCCTCCCCTCGCCTCAGAGAGGCATCTGTAGAACCTTCTGGCAGCTCAGGGTTCCCCCAACACCCACCTCATGGAAAAGCTCAGCTTGACACGGTCCAATTCCACCTTGTGTACAAAGCCCTTGTAGGTGACAGGGTCCTCCTGGTGTGTCTCGGAGGACAAAAGGGCAAACAGGTGGTCACCTCGTAGCACTGAGGGGCGGCTTTCGGTCACCCCGGGAACCTATGGGGTGTGAACACAAGCAAGCTTCTATCCCAGGGAGGGCCCAACCCCCAGGCTCTCCAGGCCTCCTCTGAGGGTCAAGGACTGAGGCTCTACCCTTCACCCCAAGATGCAGGGGGCCTTGCCTCTTGCCTCTCCCACCAGACAGCATAAGAGTCACGGGACGAGGAAGGAGACAAGTCTGTTCAGGCTGCTCATAGATGCTAGGCCCAGGAATCCCGGAAACCTCCAGAGCACGACTTCAGGACGTGGAAGCCAGCTTTCCAGCCTGTCCAGCTGCCCTGTTGGCCAGCTCAATTCCTACCCTGCCTTTAAAATCTTGTTCAAAACTCAGTTCCTGCAGGAATCCTTCCCCGATCATCCTCACACCCGCCCCGCTTCTCACCGGGTCCCTTCCTCAGTGCTTGTGTGCAGGAATTCATTCTCATGTGTAATTCTGGGCTTATGTGTACACATTCATCTGAGAGCTGGAAGGGGCTCTAAGAATTATCTAGTCCAGCTCTGTGCTTTGCAGATGAGGGAACTAAAGCCTAGAGAGAGCAAGGGACCTGCCCAAGGCCACACAGCCAGTGGTAGCAAAGTCTGGACTAAAACCCAGGTCCTCCCCATTGCCTTGCTCTGCCACCTCTTTGTGGGCATAGGATGCCCACTCTGCTCCTGGCTGAGCCCTCTGGGGCAGGAACAACTTCTTCCTTCCTCTTGTTTTGCCCTGCCGTCAGGAACAGTGTTCTGCTCATAGCCTGTAGGCTAGTGTCTGACTTGAGCCCACCTCCCTGCACCCGATCCAAGCCCCGACCTCCAGTGTGAGCAGCCTGGGGTTCTGGTCTGCGGGGTCCCAGGTCATGGGCACCGACTCCAGGTCATAGTGCCGGATGTCGTGCTCCATCTGCAGCTCCTCCAGGTGCAGCAGCAGCCGGAGCTTCACCTCGTAGTTCCTCCACTTCAGGGCTGTCTCCAGCTGGGCCCTGGCAGTGATGGGGGGGGCCAGTGAGCAGGGCAGGAACAGGACGGGTCAGGCAACTCCCACACCCAGGAGCATCCACCCTCTCCCATCTGCAGCTCTGGGACTACGAAAGCATCAGGAATCAGGGAAGACTAGAAGGGCAGAGAAGTGGACGGGGGTCAGAGATCTCGAAGAATGGGGCCTTGGCTCTCACTCCCTTCCTCGGGTGCCCCTGCCCCCTACCTCAGACCCAACTTGGCATTTGCACTGGGGATCCTAGCCCTGGAACATTCTCCTCCCAGATCCTCCTATGACCCACACCCTCACCTCACTCAAATGTCATTCTCTGCTCAAATGTCACCTCCTCAAAGAGGCCAGCGCTAACTGTCCTCTTCAAAACAGTATAGCCTACCCCTTACCCTGCTATAGTTTTAGTTAGCTTTAGTTTAGTTTTTCACAGCACTCATCACTACATGAAATTGTAAGATAAATGCTCATTGTTCCCCACTAGGGTGGGCAAGCCCTTGTGTGACTGATTCGCTTTGAACAGTGCCTGGCACACAGTGCGTGCTCGGTAAGGGAATGAATGAACGGGTAGCATGGGAGGCTGAGGACAGAGGTATCAGGGCAATATGAAGGAGCCAGCAGGGAAGAGACAGATAAAGCAGCACAAGGGGTGTGGAGCAGTAGTACTTACTTGATCTCAGCAATCTCCTTTGGGGCAGTGAAGATACTTGTTCCCTGAAGAAGGATGGGGAGCAGCTGCCGGAGGCGGGGGGGTGGGTAGTACGTCCCTAGTGCCATACTCAGCTCCAGGTCATAGCCCTTAGCACTGCAGGGGCGGGGAAAGGAAAGCTATCACAAACACAGAGACCCGTCACCTTCAGAGACTCTGAGAAGACCCCTCCCCGGAGGATGCACAAGCCCTTCTACAAAACTTTCGCTGAAGGGGGTCAGCAGCCTTTGCCCAAGGAGGCAGGACTCACAACCTCATGAGGCTGCTTGCTCCCAGGCTGGGCCTTCTCATTTTTGGAAAGCATGATACTTGGAACATTTAAAAAATATATATGTAATACATATATAGGAATATAATATGTGTGTAAGCAATACATGTTCATTAAAAAAGAAAAAATCAGAAAATAGGTAATAAATAAATAAATAACATTCTCACCATCCAGGGATAACTGATGTTAACTTTTTGGTAGGTAGCCTTCCAGACTTTTTTCTTTGTCAATTTGTATCATATACATGTATTTTTAACAAAGAGAGAACAATGGTCTATAGTCTGCTTTTATAGCTCAGTATTTTGTGAACACCTAGCTATGTCAAAAAGAGATGTCTACACATATATGATTCCATTCATATGAAATTTCCAGAATGGGGAAATCTATAGGGAGAGAAAGTAGATGAGTAAGGTTGCTTAGGGTTAGGAGGGAATGAAGAGCTAAAGGGTACGGGTTCTTTTGGGGTAATGAAATGTTCTAAAACTGACTGTGGTGATGGTTGCACAAATCTGTGAATATACTCAAAACCAACGAACTGCACACTTTAAATGAGTGAACTGTATGGTATGTGAATTATCTCAATAAAACTGTTTAAAAAGAGAAATAGACATGTCTATCCTGCGCTGCCTGACAATCCATCAATCATACTGTCAAAAATGCTTAAAATTTTTTCACACTGTCCTCATATCTGCTGCCCAGAGGAGTTAAGAACTCGCAGTTAGGAAAGGGCGCTCTGGCTCCCAGCTCTATGCTCTTCCCCAGGGCCCACAGTGTGTGTTGGGGCACCCTCAGCCCAGACTGGGTTGGAGAGAGGAGTTACCGGTCAGGTCTCTCTCCTTCCTCTATCCGGTTGGTCACTACAGGGTTTCCAGGGATCCGAGTCCGCTTGAAGGGAGTCGTGGGCTTCAGTTGTGCTGCCAGGGGACTGTGGGCAACGGCAGCCAGGAAGCGGGCAATGTAGAAAGTGCCAGCTCCTTCTGAACCTGGTTCCCCGGGTCCCAGTAGCTCCCAGAGCACCGTGGCTGGGAAGTAGCCCACAAAGCTGGTCTTACAGTGGACATGGAGCTCATAGCATTCACCTGCAGGAGGATGGGTGAGTCAGCGGCGGGCAGGGAGGGAGCCGCCCACCAGCATCTCTACCCTGGACACCCACCCAGATAGCCCCACCCCAAGGCAGGAGCCCACAGGACAGTGACAGCATGTTTCCTGAAGCACTAGCCCTTCCTAGGGCAAGCCCCTATCCACCAGAGGCTCTTTCCTTTGGAAACCCACTCACCGGGGCCCAGTGGGCAGGGCAGCTCCTGGTCTCCATCGTAGAAGGCAAACTGGGGGGTCCGGCAGAGTGGGAAGAGGTGGGTGAGGGTGACAGGCTGGGTTCCTCCATTCCGAAGCCTCAGGGTCAGCACCTCCTTGCGGTTCAAATCCAGGCGGATAAGGAGCTGCCCATCTCGGGCTTCATGGGGCCCCTGGACTTCCACGTCCACCCCATGTTTCCCGTGAAGATACTCAGCCCTGGGGAGAGTGGGAGTCAAGGGGGGGGGCTGGGGCGGGAGGGGCCTGGACTGGGGGCAAGTTGCCTGGGGAAAGTTTTAGGCTGGGGAGGCTGGATAGGTGCCAGCTGTGCTCAGAAAACCCACCCCCTCCCCCCAGGCCCACTGGCTCCTTCCCTACCCTTCCCCCAATCCTTGAAGGAGGGGCCTTCCCCCAACCTGAGAAAACACACTCTTTCCTTAGCCAGACAGCTTCCCCCATGCCCAGGCCCCTCTCTACACAACCCCCTCACACACATACACACCTGTCATAAAAGATCTTGGCTAGCAGTGACTTGTGGTGTTTGCTGATATCTGACCCCAGCGTCATTCTCCTCTTTTCTGGAAACCCCTCGTCAGCCCAGCGGTCGAGTCTGAAGAATCTGACCCGAGTCTTGGTGACGTAGGCCAGATTTGCAATCTTCATTCCATACAGCATGGAGGAGAAGCCAGGGGCGGGGGTCCCAAAGCTGCCGGAAGCAGAGGAGACTGGGAAGTGAGGGAAGGCAGGGCCAGTGGGACGCAGAGTGACATGTTGGGGAGCGTGGGAGGGGAAGGCGTCTGAGGACTGCTTTGTGCTGGACACACCAGCCATGCTGCAGAACAGGACAGGGCCCAGGGACAGACTCGGGCGAGGGATCGCAGGAATTTTTAATGTTTTAAGGGAAGGCAATGGGACTTCCCAAGACAAAATATGATTGTTTTAAGCAGCAGGCTGTGGATTGTGCAATTCTGAGGAGAAAAGCCCAATCATGGGCTGTTGATTTGGAGAACTAAGGGAAGAGAGAAAGAAAGGAAGATTTTTTGGGGAAAACTATTTGGGACAGAAAAAGACACAAATAACCCAGCAGAAAGAGCTAAGGCTAAGGGAAAGCTGAATCGTTGATTCGAAGGGGTGGATCTGGGGTCCAGTCTGATGGTGAGGAGTGAGAGAGGGGTCAGAGAGCACAGATGTCCAGGGTGTGTGGGCAAGGTGGCTGATCAGACAGCAGTTTCCACCCGAAGTCAAAGGGTGCAGGTGGAACCCAAGCAGGAAGGGAAGGGATCCTTCTCCAGAGATCAAATAGCTTGGCTTTGTGCCTAGAGAAGGTGAAGACAGGGAAAACTGGTCAGAAGGACAATAACCTCAAGATTCAGTGCCTGGAATTCAGTTTAGTCAACTCAACAAACACTTACAGAGACCTGTTATGTGCCAGACACTGCGCTAGATGCTGGGGGTTCAAAGAGGCAGGAGATCCAGACCTGCCCCGAGGCGCACAGACTGAACACAGCAATTCCAGCATGCTGCCAGGAGTGCAGCAAAGGAGGCTTCCAGGCAGCCCGGGGGCAGGGCTGGGTATCCATGAAGGCTTCCCTAGGAGACAGCGTCAGAATTGAGTCCTGAAGGATGAATGGATGTCAAACAGGTGTAGTGTGAGCCAAGGTGGGGGGTTTGCAAGAACAAGTGCTGAGGGGCTGGGCGAACCACCCACTCTGCCACTAGCTAGGTCACCTCGGGTCATTTCACCTCTCAGAGCCTCGCTTTCCTCCCTATAAAATGGCGACAATGGCAGACTTACCTCGCAGAGTTGCTGTGAGGATTACATGAGAGACGGACACTGCAGTGTCCACTTAGCTCAGTGCTTGGCACATAAGGAGATCTCAGTAAGAGATGCTAGGATTAGTATCACATACAGTCTGGTTGTACTAGAGTGAACAGTGCAAGGAAGGGAGTGGCAGGAGGCAGCAGAGGTGGGCAGGGACCAGGTCACTCATAGTTTTGCATGCCAGGTCCTGAAGCCTGGACTTGACCCTGAAGGCCAGCAGTCGTCCTCCTTTAGTGACACCCAGGAGCCAGAGGACAACTCCATATGAAACATACTTCATGGACATATTCAAGATCTGGACAGCTGACCACCAGCTGACCACCCTCCCTCTTTGCTTTGTAGGGAATAAAAGCACACCCTAGTTCCTAAGGACCATGGTAATCCATACTTAACTATTAAGGCTAAATCAGCACGGTCACTCACTAGCATATAACAAGATCATTTATGGTTATGGACATCTCCCTGGTGCCCCCTGCCTGTAACTCTGCCCCTCTCCCTCACCCCAGGCAAATGAGAATGATACTCTTCAGAAAACTCGGAATTGGCTCTCACTTGTTTTAAAAAGATAATAAATCATTTTAAAACATCATAGCAAATGCTCAGTAAATGTTAGCTACTATTATTAGTATTCGTATTAGTAGTAACAGTAGTACTAACAGTAGCAGTAGGAGGAGGAGGAGTAACAACTTACTTTCAGCCCGCCTCAGGCGCTACACTGTGGTTACAGAACCACCGAGTGGAGTCGGTGGGTTTTAAGCAGGGGAGTGGCAAGATCAGATTTGCATTTCAGATCACTCTGGCATCAGGATTGGAGCATGGATTTGCTGGAGGCAAGACTGCAGGCAGGGAGACCAGTTAGAAGAAAGCCATTGTAATAGTCCAATTAAAAGGTGACTAGGGTCTGAACAAGGCAGTGGTAAGGACAGAAGAGGGGCTAGATCTGATAATATTTAGAATGTAAAATTAGTAGAATTTGGTGACCAGCAAGAGGGGGAATGGAGGCTGGGAAGAGGGAGGAGTCTAGGGCAATATCCAAATCAATGGCTTGGCTTCCGGGACTATTCCAGAGACAGGAGGTAAAGAGGAGGGAAAGGGGAAAGGGGAGGAAGCAGAGGAGGAGGGGGAGGGAGGGACGGAGCAGAGGAGGGGGGCAGGAGAGGAGGGGGGGAGGAGGAGGAAAAAGAGGCTGTTGGAGGGACTGACCATGACATTTGGATTTAGACATGCTCAGTTTGAGATTCCTGTGGTCCAGAGGCAGCTGGCTTCATGAGTCAGAGAACTCAGGCCAAAGGCAAAGTAGAGCCTAATATTCCAGAATCCTCAGGTAGTAGTTACAACCATGGAAGTGTTTGCGATCTCCCCAGGGAGGGTGAGCAGTCTGAGAACAGCCTCGAGACCAGGACAACCCAGGGAGGAAGAGAAAACAGAAGGAACTCCCCCCAGGAGAGGGAGGAGAATCAGGAGGAAGTCTCAAATCAGGTATCAGGCTCAAATGCCGCTGGGGGCGGGGGCGGGGTCCAGTCCTAAAGGGACGGAAATCAGGAGGTCCTCGGTAACTTTCACCAGGGCCCCTTGGTCAGTGAGCTCCATGGATCAGGCACAAACTCAAATGCCAACAGAAGCCAGGCTCCGTAGTATCTTTGATACCCGTAGCCCTCTCCGGCATCTGTACAGTCCCATTTTTGAGTCATTAGTGTACGAGGGACTATACGTCCCTCGTAACTACTATAAGAAAACAAATGCAGGTGCCCTGAAATGCGGCTGGGCTCTCGGCTTAGTGCAGGGGAGGAAACAGCGCTCTGACGGGATTGAACCATGCCCTGTCTAAAGGGGTGACTGATGCTCATCTCCAGACAAATGCTCCCAGCAGGGAATGTAGGCCCAAGTCAGCCAGAGCTTCTGGGTTTTAGGAGAAGCCCAAATCAAAATGTCAACGTGGAATCTCCTATTTTTAGAAACTTCTGCATGGGCACATGGGCAGGAGGAACTCAACTTCACAAGATGTGTAACATCTACTGTGGGTGCTACCATCTAAGTATTTCTCAAATGATTCTCCATGTCTGTTACCGCTACCCTAATTCACCTATCCCTGGTCTAAGGTGAGAGCCATAAAAATAAAAATCTTTTTAAATCACAAACTTAGTACATACTTGAGAAACAAGCCCCAATTCTTGTATTAAACATCTAGTCACTTAGATTTCCAGGGAAAAAAAGACAAACAATTCAATAGAAAAATTGAATATTCAACTTAAAGAACAAATCCGGATGAGCAAAGTATGAAAAGATCTCCAAAAGTAGAGAAATGCAAATTAAAGAAAAAAATGAGATACTTTATTTCCATTAGACTGACAAAAATGGAAAATAGTCACAACATGTATTGCCGTTATGTATATTTGGAAAAGTGAACTCTCATACATTGCTGGTAGAAGATGAAGTGTATTACAATCTTTTGGAAAACAATCTGGTAACATCTCTAACATTTGAAATACAGGTATCCTTTAACTCAGGAATCCCATTCTTGGGAATGTATCCCATGGAAAGGAAAGCACCAATGTACAAGGACGCTTCTGCAGTCATTCACAGTAGCCAAGAACTGGAAACAAAACAAACGCCCATCAAGAGGGAGAGGGCTGAATAAATTGTACACACCCATGCCACGGGATATTATGCAGCCATCAAAAAGAACACATCACACCCGCTCAAATGGCTAACATTTAAAAGGCTGACAACACCAAACATTGACAAGGATATAGAAACACCAGAATGCCCATGCATTGTTGGCTGGAATATAAAATGGTACAATCACTTTGGAAAAAGATCTGATAGTTTCTTGTAAAACTAAACATATATTGTAATGTTCTGATTTTTACTGAAAAGAATACATTACTACATTATATGTGCAATAAAAAGTCATTAAAAAATAATGCAACTATAATACCTGGTGTAGACCTAGCGCTGGTATTTATTCAATAAATACTTGCTGGGAGAATGCCGAAAGAAATACCAAATAATTCCACATTGTTGTTTTATAGACAAAAAAAGATGACAATGCAAACATTGAATAGCTGGGCTGGCATACAGCACCACTGTGCAATGGCCTGGAATGCTAGGTGTCAGGTTACATACCTTGTCCAAACTTGGACGATATATATATATAAAGGAAGGAAGGTAGTGGAAGGGAACTAAAATGTATGAAGACATGGTCACAGTACTTTTTTGTCTGTGTGTGTGTGTGTGTGTGTGTGTGTGTGAGAGGAAGATTAGCCCTGAGCTAACATCTGTCACCAATCCTCCTCTTTTTGCTGAGGAAGACTGGCCCTGGGCTAACATCCATGCCCATCTTCCTCCACTTTATATGGGATGCCGCCACAGCATGGCTTGACAAATGGCACGTCAGTGCTCGCCCGGATCCGAACCCTGGGCCGATGCAGAGAGTGCCCGCACTTAACCGCTACGCCACCTGGCCAGCCCCCTGGTCACGGTACTTTTAGATGGCTATGTACATTTGGAGTCACTAGTTGTAGGCAACAGAATAAATTATGGCTGATTTAAGGCATAAGAGCTTCAATAAAATTGCTGGGAGGTTTGGAGAAGCAGACTCAGAAAATGGGCAGGAACTAAGGAAGGCTGAGCAGCCCAACCCCAGACAAGGTCACACCAGAAGACCAGTTCAGAAGACGTTGCTGCTGCCACCAAAAAAGAGGTTAAGCAACTTGCCCAAGATTAAAAATAAATAAATACTGCATGACCCAGCAATTCCACCTCTAGGTATAACCCCAAGACAAATGGAAACATATGTCCACAAAACGACTTGTGCAAGAATGTTCATGGCAGTTTTATTCATAATCGCCCCAAACTGAAAACAATGTTCAAGAACAGGAGAATAGGTAAACAAAGTGTGATTTGTATTCATACAAAGAATACTATACAGTGATAAAAAGAAACTACTGATACACACAACAGCATGGATGAATCTTAAAAACATTATGTTGAGTAAAAGATGCTTTACATAAAGAGTACATACTATCTGGTTCCATTAAATGATGTTCTAGAACAGGTACTCTCTCAAAAAAAATCAGCACAGTGGTTGCCTCTGGGTGGTAAGGGTGAGGACTGCCTAGGAAAGGAGATGAGGGAACTTTCTGGGGTGATGTCAGGTTCTGTATCTTGACGGTGTGGCACACAGGTATATGAATTTGTTAAAAATCATAGAATGGTACAATTAAAATGTGCCCATTTCGTTGTAAAAAAAAAAGAATTGTAAACAAATTTTGAACTCTTATAGCTAATGATAATCATGCTGAAGTGTTTAGGGGTGAAGTGCACTGACTTCTGCAACTTACTTTGATATTCATCAAAAAAATGAAGAAGGCTAGAGAGATGGATGGATTGGCAAATGTGTAAAATGCTAATTAACAAATCTAGGTGAGGGTATAATATGGGTGTTCACTGTACAATTATTTCAACTTTTCTTTATGTTTGAAATTTGTCTTAATAAAATGTTGGGGAAAAAACCCCAACAATGCATTAGAGGTGTGTACCAGATGATTAGGAGTGATTTCCATGACATATTTTTGAGTAAGAAAATCGGGATGTGGAAAATGTGTATAACATGATCCTTTTTTAAATAAAACAACTAAAAAGATACCCTGGTTGATATCAAGATTTACCTGAGCATGGGGCAGAATGTGGAAATGGAGGTGGGATGCTAATATGGGGAGGGGTCCACAAGAAAAAAGGATATATTATAATGATCCCACCTGGGTAAACTCACATAGCTGTGATAGAAGTATCACGCATAAAGAGATGAATGAAAGGGTGGTCACCAAAAGTATTAAAAAACATTTACACAAGACAAATATCTAACATAAAATATTACGGACTCCCACTCCCTCACTCCCAACTACTTGTTAAACTGCTTGACGTATATTCTTCCACTCTCTTCTATGCATATATAAACATATTTTTTATGCTACACAAACTATTCTGCAACAGACTTCTTTCACCACCATGGATATCCTTCCATGACATTATCCCAAGCCACCTCACTCTGCAAAGGACAGCCGAGTTTGAATGCACTGTGGGTGTTTTTAACTATTTGTCCAATGATAGGCCGCCTACAATGTTTGGCTACGTATTTCAAATGTTACAATAACCATCCTTGTACAAAAACTCTTGTACTATAGGTGATTTATGGGACAAATCCTTTGAAGGAGAACTTCTGGGTCAAAGAGAATGAATCTTTAGAACTTGAATTTTTGCCAAATTCTCCTCTAAACAGGTTGTACAAACTTACAGTCTCACTAACAAGGATTTGGGAACACTCCTTTTCTTAGACCCTAACATCAGAAATCTCCAATCTTTTAAATTTTTGACAATTTGAAAAGCGAAAAATGTTACCTTGTTTAAATTTGCACGTCCCTGGGGGCTGGCCCCATGGCTTAGCGGTTAAGTACGCGCGCTCTGCTACTGGAGACCCCGGTTCAGATCCCGGCATGCACCAACGCACCGCTTGTCTGGCCATGCTGAGGTGGCGTCCCACACACAGCAACTAGAAGGATGTGCATCTATGACACACAACTATTTACTGGGGCTTTGGGGAGAAAAAGGGGGAAAAAAAAAGGAGGAGGATTGGCAATAGATGTTAGCTCTGAGCCGGTCTACCTCAGCAAAAAGAGGATTGGCATGGATGTTAGCTCAGGGCTGATCTTCCTCACACACACACACAAACAAAAAATTTGCATGTCCCCAATCACTAATACAGTCGAGGATCTTTCCTTCTGTTTATTAGTCATTTGTATTTCTTCTGTGAACTGCCTGATCATATCATTTTTCTCAGCCCTATTAACTGTTGGTCCTCCTCTTCACACCCCTCTCCTGGTCCATCCCCTAAATTGGCAAGAGTTATTATCAAACTCAAATCAGATCATGTCCCCCAATTTATGACTTCACAGCCTACAGGATTAAGTCTTCCACTTCGATGCTCCGCCTTAACAATGATAATGCAAACACAACAACACCATCAACAACAATAGAGAACATTTATTGAGCACTTACTGTGTGCTGTTCTAAGTACCAGATGCATTATCTCATTTAATCCTCAAAACAACCCTTTGAGGTAGCAACTGTCATCACCCCATTTTATAGAAGAAACTGAGGCACAGGTCCTCACTTCACATGAGGCCTCTCGTCTATTCATCCTTTTTTTTTGTGAGGAAGATCAGCCCTGAGCTAACATCCATGCCAATCCTCCACTTTTTGCTGAGGAAGACTGGCTGTGGGCTAACATCCGTGCCCATCTTCCTCTACTTTATACGGGACACCGCCACAGCATGGCTTGACAAGCGGTGCGTAGGTCCACACCCGGGATCTGAACCTGAGAACCTCAGACCTCTGAAGCGGAGCGCGCGCAAACTTAATGGCTACGCCACTGGGCCGGCCCCAGTAAAATGTACTTTTTTACTGTGGATGGGGTCCCACCACCAAGCCATTCTCCATGACAGAAGCCAGGATGATCTTTCTAAAATCCTGATTGCCTCAGTCTCCTACTTTGAAACTTCTGTGCTTCCCTATTCTGTTAAGATTAAAAACAAAACAGAACTAACCAAACATTCCCACAACACCTCGCCACAGCCCACAAGCTCATGCCCAATCTAGCCCCTGCCTCCCTCTGGCCTCAGTCACTGGGTCCCCCCAAGCCTTGGAAGGTGCTACTCCCTCTGTCTGCAATGCTCTCCTCTTGCCTCTTACATCTGCTAACTCCTGTTTATCCTTCTAGATTCCGTTCAAACATCACCTTCTCCCAGAAACCTCTGATTCCTAGACTAGGTCAGATCTCCAAGCTATATACTTCTCAACGCATGCTGGACTTTTTCTTATAAGCCCTTATCACAACAGTAATTAAATTACTTAATTGCCTCCTCCTAACATAGACAGTTAGGTTTCTTCTGTGTATCTGCAGCAACTCCCAAGGCAAGAGAAGTCTTCTCTCAGCAACTTCTCATGACACCAGTCCTTACTCCACACAATGGACTCCTAACCATCACTGTACTAATGATAGCTACTGCTGCCAAAGCCTGCACAATATGCTACACAGAGTAAATGCTTTGGCTCAATTTGGCCTCACACAACCCTGAAAAGCATTATTTTACACACTTAACAGTTAGGAAAATTTAGATAGTTGTTCAAAATCAAACGCAACTAGCAAGTGGCAGAGCCAGGATTTGAACTCCTGTTATCTAAACACTATACCAGCACCGGCAGTCCTGTGTGGCAGTCTTCACACCTGCCACTCCCTACTGACTACCCTCTTTAGAGGCAGAAACCAAGGCACAGGCACATAGTAGAGCCTCATTAAATATGTATGCTAAATGAATAATGAGAGCTGAGAAAAGGCAAGAGTTGGGAGCAGAGCATTTCATAACATCATAAAATAACCTAGTTGGAAGGGACCTATCCCTGCCAGTGTAGGAAGCGCCTTAGAATTCGTGACAAAGGCTGACTTGCTTTACCTCCTCCACAGTCTATTCTCTTGTAGATCAACTCTTCAATCAGATTCCACAAGCATTTATTGAGCATCTACTACATACAAGGCTCTATGCTGGGGACTGAGGGAAGGGGCGAATGATGAAAAGCCTGTCCCTGCCTTCAGAGGATCTGACAGTCTGGTGGGGGAAGACAGCTCCATACTAGCTCTAACGAGGATCGCGCTATGACCAGGGTGTGAAGAATGAGCTATGAGAGCCCAGAGGAAGAAGCAATGCATTCCCATTGGGAGGATGAGGGTTGACATCACAGCATTCCATCCTGGGTTTAAAGGATGCATAAGTTCTCTCTAATCAGAACAGAAATCTGCTCCACTTGAAGCATGGAGCATGAGGGGGCATGTTGAGAGAATCTAGTTCTACCTTCTGGAATGGCACGGAAGTATAGTGTCTCCCCCGGCACAGTCTTTAAAACATTCCGAGATAACTACCTTGTCCTCTCCAATCCTTCCTCTTTTCAAGGCAAACATTTCTCCATTTCTTTGACTGGATCTCCCGATAGAATATGAATCAACCAAGAAGACTTTCCTCCTCCTCCGAATACTAAAACTATATCCTTCAAGGCCAAGGTCAATGCCACCTTCTCCATCGAATTCCCCAATAATTACTGGGGAGTGGTATCTTACTTGCTTAAAACACAAGTGCATACAGTAAAAATTACTTTTGAAAATCTCTTCAATTCACCCATACTGTACAGTATATGTGGTTTTCTGTGTGCAACCTGACATAGCCTGTTTTTCGCCAGTATTAGAACATATTGTGTATCTTTGGTTTAGAGCTGACAAAAACTCTCCTCTTGACCAAACTTCAGTCAGGCTCCTCTGAACCCTCTTCTTGATTAGGCTTCAACTTTGCTTCCCTACCCCCACGCCTGTCTCTGGCCTGCCTAGCCCAGTCTTAGCAAAAATCCTTCTGTCAGTTTTGTGAGAATTCTCCCACCCTTATCCAATTCCTCATCTCACACCTTTCAGTGTAAGTCCTCGACCTTGTCTTTAGCAAGAATCCCCCTACTCTTCATGTCTCCTCTTAGTAATTTTCCATCCACTGACCCCCTCTTTCTGCTCCTTGTTTATAAATTCCCAGCTATCTTTGCTGTATTGGAAGTTCAGCTAGATCTCTCTCCCCTATTGCAAGTCTTGAATAAAGTCTTCCTTACAGCTTTAACAAGTGTCAGAATAATAATTTCTTCAACAGAGCCAAAAGTAGTTGACTTGTGTTCAGAGCCATGTTGTACTCATTTTTTGTGGACGTAGATGAATTCACATATGTGAAGTGTTGATGATGTGAACTCATGGTATTTGCTTTCTTTACTTTCCTCCAGCATTTTTATTAGCTCTATTATAATCTTCATCTTATTTTACCATTTATTATAGTATATTGGATGCATGTATACTGCTTGCACACCATAGCTTCTACTGCTCTCCTGGGATTGTGTATTTTTCATCTTTATATTTCCCATAGTGCCCAGCACAGTGTGGGAGCATACAACAGGTCTCATCTTGCCCTTTCTTCAGATGTTGCTCAAGCCTGTTAACGTCCCCCTTAAAATGTGACACTCATTATTGAAAACAATATTCCAGATACGATCTGGTCACTACCTCTTTCCCTAACCCCAAACCACACTTCCGTTAACACAGTCTACTACTCCTTTTCCTCTTTTAGCAGCCATACTGGCCTTTTTGTCTGCTAAAACCCAGTCTATTTCAGAAGGTCTGTGGTTAAGCCTAAATTCCCACCACCCCGTGTTTATTTGTATGTCTTTACATGTACCCCTGTTAAATTGTTTCCTGGTTTTCAGCCCAAGGCTGCAGCCTGTTGATAGAAGTGTTTTGAAAACACAACTCCGTTGTTTGACAGACAGAAGTCTCTTTTTCACTTGGATGGTAACAGGAAAGGGGAACGGTGGGTGAGAAGGGGCCTCCAGGAGACTGGCTCTGGCCCTGGGTCTCCATGGAGAAGCCACAGGTGCTAATGGAGGTTTGGTACGTATGTAGTTTGTGCCCTTTTCTTCTTTCCCGAGCGCCCTGAGATTCTCCCTCCTACACTAGGTCTCTTCAGCTCTCTGAGATAGTGGATCCCGAAGAAGCAGCCCATCAAAAAGGGGGCGGGGGTCCCGGTCAAGCGCGCGCCCGGGCTCGCCGCCACCAGCAGGCAGCTCCTTCCCTGCGCTCCCGCGATGCCTGGGCCCCTCCCGAGGCTCCCCTCCCCCACGCCGAGCGCTGTCCCCCGGCCCCCGCGAGCGGCGCGTGGGCGCAGGACCCTGCTCCCGGCCCGGGGCCGCCGGGGGAGCGGGCTGCCCGGGAGGCTCTCCGCGGGGACTCGGCCTGCCTTCAGAGGATCTGACAGTCTGGTGGGGGAAGACAGCTCCATACTAGCTCTAACGAGGATCGCGCTATGACCAGGGTGTGAAGAATGAGC